CACCCCCGGCCGGGTGTGGGCAGAGCAGAGGTCTGAAATGTTATCTATGCAAAACCTGTGGCCACCAGGCCCAGAGCCATGGGTGTGAGCAGGGTGGGCTCTGGATGTGGGTGACAGAGGGAGCTCTGAGTCACGGAGGGTGGGCAGTGCCCAGAGGTGGGCTCAAGAGGGGACCCCCATGCAGATGGAACCTGCCCAGGACTGTTCCCTCGCTGCACCCCTTGGCTCCTGGTTGAACCCCCGCCCACCTCCCACTTCCTGGGGAGAGGGATGGGCATGGGGGCCGGGTGCACAAAGATTCCTGCATGGGGTGGGGGGGTCCCTCAGCCCGACCTGTACCCTCTCCAATCTGGGAGCCCTCAGGGGACCCCCTTCCAATCCGGAAGTTTCTGTCTGTCTTTGCAATCATATGAGCGAATTGTCTGAGACCCCGACCCAGTTTGGTTTGTTGCTCACAGAATAATAGAGGCTTTTTTTTTCTTTGCTTCATTGGTGGAGATTTCCTGGAATTTTTAGGATATCTTCCTTTTAATTTTTCCCGGACACCCTGATTTTACTGTCTCTCACCTTCGCTCTTCCTCCATCCCACACCGTGACAGTAACTGCTCCAGGCTCACTGCTCTAGTGTCTAGGAGATCCGTCTGCTACCAGAACTACAATTCCCAGCATTCCCGGCGCTCCCGGAGCTCTTGGTTTTCCCTTCCTGCTCTCCCTCTCTGCGCTCTGTCCGGTGCCTGTGTATGCAAATTAACCCACCACCTTTGTCAGGATAATTTACATACTCATGCCTGATTGGCTGGTGGGCATCACAGAGGTATGGTCAATTAAAATTTTTTCTTTTATTATATAGTATATATATACTCTGAGCAGCCATATTATTGTGATCTCTGAACACATAATAATCTGGCCACTCAGTGTATATCCTATATAATAAAAGGCTAATATGCAAATTGTCCCTTTGGCCAGGAGTTTGAATAGCAGGCAGGCTGGCCTACCACCCATGTCCCCTCCCCCTGGCCAAGCTGGCTGGACCCCACCCATGCATGAATTCATGCATCGGCCTCTAAAAAAAAAAATTATATATATAATTTCAGAGAGGAAGAGGGAGAGAAGGAGAAACATCAATGATGAGAGAGAATCATGGATCAGCTGCCTGCTGCACACCTCACACTGGGGATCAAGCCCACAACCCAGGCATGTGCCCTGACTGGGAATTGAACCATGACTTCCTGGTTCATAGGCGACGCTCAACCACTGAGCCACTGGGCGGGCACGGCTTGGGCTTTTAAAGCTCTGCTGGGTTCCCTGGGGAGAGTGGGGGAGTCCCTGGTCCATGAAGCCTACAGACCCCAGAGCAGCCGGGAGGGACCTCGCCCAGGGGGCCTTGCTCACGTCCCTCCAGACCAGCATGGAGCAGTGGTTCCTTTTCTGAGGGACATGACAGGCTCAGCTCTTGTGCTCAAGTCCCAGGATGCAGGAGCCCACCTCAGAGAGGAGTCTCGAGGGGAAGCATGTCGAACTCGCAGTCCACAACGAATATTTCTGTGGCCCAGCCAACATCACGGTATGGAAGAAACGTTTTAATAAAAATTTCATAATTTTTACAACATCCTGTTATACATAATCTATCTATATAAAAGCTAAGTGACAGGCCAACCATTCAACCACCCGACCGGTCACTATAATACACACTGACCACCAGGGGGCAGACACTCAACATAGGCGCTGCCGAGCTGCAGTGACTTGGCAGCCGTGGTTCTCCGGTGACGCACCCTGAACCAGAGAGGAGGGAGCCTGATTCCAGAGTGTGTCACCCGAGAACCACCCTCTTGCAATTCGGGACCCCTCGGGGGATGTGGGAGAGCCGGTTTCGGCCCGATCCCTGCAGGCCAGGCCGAGGGCCTCTAGTTATTAATAAGGAATTACAACGTTTGATAACCACGATGGCTGTCATCGTGTTGCATTCATTTCCCTCACGTGCAGGCACACCACTCCTCTCCACTAACACCAGCAGCGAATGGCTTGGTGGCCGATGGCCACGTCATTAGCGTGGGACTGACTTATTTGGTGAGCGCAACAGGGAACACTTCGCTTTCGGAGAACGAGAAAAATAGGTTTACCTAAGTGACGCTTATTGATTTGTGCCGTTATTCAGCGTCTGTAAGTTAACGTTCAAGAAGAAATGTTAATTTTTATTTAAATGTTCTATTTTTTTTTAAATATATATTTTATTGATTTTACACAGAGAGGAATTGAGAGGGACAGAGAGTTAGAAACGTCGATGAGAGAGAAACCTCGACCAGCTGCCTCCTGTACACCCCCCACTGGGGATGTGCCCGCAACCAAGGTACATGCCCTTGACCGGAAACGAACCCGGGACCCTTCAGTCCGCAGGCCGACGCTCTATCCACTGAGCCAAACCGGTCCCGGCTAAATGTTCTATTTTATGTTAACGATGACTCGTGTATCTCAGCCCTTTGTATCCAGCATGTCTCCACCGAAATAAACCTACGTTAATATGAAAATGGAAGCTTTGTTTTTTTCGGCCGTGTTAGCCGTATGCAACCACACACTGACGCCTTGTTTGGCCCGTGGTGGCCTTCAAGTTTGATCTTTTGCTCGGGGGGGACTGTGGTCTCGGCTGCCAGAGGCTCCGAGGGTGAGGGGGGCCAGGGGTCCGGAGGCTGAGATCTCTGTGCAGCTCCAGGGGGGGTGGGTCTGCGGGCTGGGACGGAACTCCAGGTAAAGGTGCTCCGAGCGGACCTCCTGCCTCTGCTCATTCTCCTCACCCGGGGACATTCTCCCACGGGTTTTCAGAGAGAGAGTGGGAGAGAGGGGGGGAGACAGAGAGAAACGGGCCGGGAGTGAGCCACAACCAAGGGGTGTGCCCTGGACTGGAATTGAACCCGGGACCCTTGGGCCTGCAGGCCGGCGCTCCGCCCACTGAGCCACAGTGGCCAGGGCTGCCCATTCCGAAGGCAGGAGAGGCCAGGTCTGTGTGCGCACCGTCAGCAGCTCTGGGAAGCACCTGTCCGCTGTGGCCAAAGCCATCTGAAGCCCCCGCGGTGGGTGCCTGTTTGAGCAGGTCCTTCTGGGAGCAGGGGCGTTGGAACCTTCTGGAACGGGCTCATGGGGTGTGTGTGTGTGTGTGTGTGTGTGTGTGTGGAGGGGCAGGGCAGCCGGCTGGGCAGAGATCGGCAGAGACAGGAAGGAAAGCCCCCTGGAGCGTGTGCGGGCTGGGCCGGCTCACCTGTGACCACGGAAGCCGCAGGCCGTTGGGTGACGACAGCCCTAGCAGGGAGCACGGCCCTTCAGGCCAAGAACAACAGCAGACGCGGCCGCGCCCGCAGCTTCCTTCCTGCCGCCGCGGGGAGGCCTCGGCGTGGTTTCCGAGGGGCAGGGGCCCCGTTCCACCCGCTCAGGAGCCTCGTGTTTTTCTGTCATTTTACGTCAGCTCCCAGGCGGCGTGAGGCCCACGAGGGAGTCTGTCGTAACGGAAGGGCTGGGCAGGGAGAGCGGGGCCGGTGGGACAGGCCCGGGTGCCCACGGGCCGGGATTGAGGGGGGGACACAGCTCAGCACCCGCCTGGGACTCAGGCGGGGCCTGGAGAAGAGGAGTCGGGGCTGTCGCAGAGCCCGGCACGGACAGGGGTGCAATGAGAAGGCGCCAACGTGGGGTGGCTGGGCTGGGTGGGTTTGGGAGGAACCCCGAGGTCTGGTCCCACGTGGGGCCCTGTCCCCGGTTCTCTCAGTGAGATAACGGGAGGATGACGGCTCCTTCCCTTGGCAGCCGGAGGTTCAGGGCGGAGTCAGGGGTTTGAGAAGGGAAAGGTCAGAGGCCGGGGCGGGGGCTTGGGGGCACCGAGGCTCCGTCAGCGCCAGAGTGATGCCCCCAGCTGCACGCACTGCGGTCGGTCGGGGCCTGTGCGCGCCCAGAGGCCCCTGCGGCCCCGGGCCGGACGCCCAGCAGATGGCAGTCCTGGCCGCGGGACTGGCGAGGGCGTGAGCAGGTGTCCCTGAGCCGGTCTTTGCCAGGCACACCCGTGGCTCCCTGAGGTACAGCCTCGCCCCCTCAGGCACTGGGACCGCATTCTGGTTCCCTCTCGGCAGCTCCTGTGTGTTTCCCCACCTCCCGCTGTGGCTTGTGGTCTTGCTCACTTCAGCGTTTCCACGGCCAGATCCCGGCTTCCTGTCACGTCCGCCTCAGTTCCCAGAGGCGGCACGTACAGGAGGGACACGGAGGGGGGCGCTGCACCCGCAGGATGCTGCCCGAGGGGCCCCTCGGGTGGGCACAGGTGCAAGCGTTGTGCCCGCCGAGTGGCTCACCAGAGCCCCTCCCCCACCCGGCCTCAGCGCCAGCCGGGTGGCGGGTCCCAGCCCCCAGGAATGCCAGTCCCAGCCACGGACACCCAGACAGACCCACATTTGCCGGCAGCGTTTATTGGGGTTACCACCTGGGTGAGGAGTATGCACAGCATACATAAGGCCCAGGTGCCAGCCCAGAGGCACCGAGAATGGTGCGGGCAGGGACAGCGCGGGGAGCCGGGCGCAGGGACAGCGCGGGGAGCCGGGCGCACGGACAGCGCGGGGAGCCGGGTGCAGGGACAGCGCGGGGAGCCGGGCGCACGGACAGCGCAGGGAGCCGGGGGCACGGACAGCGCGGGGAGCTGGGCGCAGGGGTGTCAGGAGGATGAGGTGACAGCGATGGGGTGATGTGTACCAAGGGGGGTGGCCTGTGCCTGGGACACCCCACCCCCTGGCCTGAGAGGGCACAGCTGCCCCAGGTCGTGCTCAGAGCTTGGCCAACGTGGAGTGGGCGTCCGAGTGCTCCTCCTGGATGGGCTTCCGGAAGCCTGGGGAGGGGAGGGGAGGGGAGAGGGCGGAGGTCAGAGGCATGGCCTCCCGGGGAGGGGACGGAGGTCAGAGGCTATGGCCTCCTGGGGAGGGGAGAGGGCGGAGGTCAGAGGCCATGGCCTCCTGGGGAGGGGAGGGGAGAGGGCGGAGGTCAGAGGCCATGGCCTCCTGGGGAGGGGAGGGGAGAGGGCGGAGGTCAGAGGCTATGGCCTCCTGGGGAGGGGAGGGGAGAGGGCGGAGGTCAGAGGCCATGGCCTCCTGGGGAGGGGGGGCGGAGGTCAGAGGCTATGGCCTCCTGGGGAGGGGAGAGGGCGGAGGTCAGAGGCCATGGCCTCCCGGGGAGGGGAGGGGAGAGGGCGGAGGTCAGAGGCATGGCCTCCCGGGGAGGGGAGAGGGCGGAGGGGAGCCCCTGGGCCTCAGCCTTCAGGGATCTCGGGGCCGCACAGCACTCACCGGCGGACGGCCTCCTGGCTCTGTAGTGCAGGAGCAGGAGCAGGGCGGCAGCCACGGGGGCCAGCAGGCCCAGCCCCAGGCCCAGGCCCAGGACAGCGGCCAGCTGGGGGCCTGCGGGGAGCAGCGCTGTAGTGGGGTCCACCGTGGAGGCCAGGCCAGGCCACCCCGTCTCCACCCGCCCTCCCTCCCACCCCACTCCCCAGGGGCCAGGACCCTGCTGGTGAGGCTGGGCGCCTTACCCCTGGGGGGCTCTGTGGGGGGGCTGGTGGGCGGCTGTGAGGTCGGGGTCCAGGCGGTGGTGGGCTGGGCGGTGGAGGGCCGGGTGGTGGAGGGCCGGGTTGGGGGGCCCGGGGTCTTCGAGGGCTGGGGGGCAGGGGGCGTCCTGTCCTCGCAGACGGCGTCAGAGCTGCTGCTGGCGGCCTGCAGGGTGTGCTTCCCCGCCAAGCTGCAGCTGCGGGCGGTGTTGTCCGGCTCAGACAGCCCTCCTCCTCCCGAGGGACCCCACGCCCGGGACTGGCCAGGACTGAGGAGCCCGTGTCCCTGCCACCCCTTAGCCTGGCCCCACCCTCAGGGTCTCCAGGGCCTGCTCACCCCACATCCCCTCGCTCACTCTGCTCCCCACTGGCTCCTTCCGGCCCTTCACCCCAATCCCTGCCCACCATGAAGTCCTAGCACAGCTCCCAGCCCCAGTCCTGGGTCCCGGATGGTTTCTCCCCCCCCCCCCCACCTCCCCCATGCAGCCGGCAGGGAGGCCGGGGCCAGGCGGAGGCTGGGCCAGGGCTGAGCGAGCCACGTGGGGGACACTCACTCGGTCCAGGGTCTGCAGGCCTCGTTGTTGCCCGGGGAGAAGTGTCCGGGAAGGCAGGGGGTACAGTCTGCAACGAAGACGATGGTGGTGCCAGGCTGTGCCGCTGGCCCCCCTCGGCCCCGGAAGCCTTCCTGCCTGTGTGCCACCCCCGGGCCCCGACCCTGAGGCCCACCCCGCACCCGTCTTGGCAGGGCCGGGGGGGCACTGGGCCGGCCGGGAGGGCTGGCAGTGGGTGGCAGCATGGTGGGGGCAGGGCCCAGGCCCTACGGGCTCACCGACTCCTCGCTTGAAGCTGCCGTCGCGGGGCTGGGTGCCGGGCCGGCAGCTGCACACGGTGTCGCTCGTGGGGGTGCACGCCTGCCTGGTTTCGCTCCCGCTTTCTTGGGGGGAGAGAGGGCTGCAGGACCAGCCACGCCCAAAGCCCCTCCCTCGGGCCCATCCCTCGAGGCCGCTGGCTCCTCATCCCCTCTGCCCCGGACGCTGCGCCCGGCCTGGCCACGTGGCCGCCTGGCCGCCTGCCCACCCGCGTCCAGAACTCCCGTCAGCACGTGCCAGCCCGTCCGCCCGCCGCCTCCCTGGTCTCCGCCCCCGGAGGAGGGAGCCGCGGGGACCCCGCGGAGCCCTCTGTGGCTGGGGTTTGGGGTTTGTGGCCGTGGCTGGCTGGGGGCTCACGCTCGTTGCACCGCGTGCAGAGCTTGCAGGGCTGGTAGTTGGTGGCCTCGTTGTAGAAGCCGGGGGCGCACTGGCGGCACACGGAGTCCTGGGCTGCGGTGCAGCGCTCCACCATGCCGAACCCTGTGGGGCGGGAGGTCCCAGTCCCTCACCACCCTGGGCGCCCCCCACCCGGGCGCCGGGACACCATAGCCCTTCCCCGCCCCCGCCTGCCCACACCCCCTCCGCGTCCCCCTCCTCCTCAGGCCCCGGCCCCGGCCGCTCACCGGGCCGGCAGTCATGGCAGCACTTGTCGCCCCGAGGGTAGGTGTCCCCGGTGCAGGTGAGCTTGGCCGCGGAGCCCAGCGCCAGCCCCAGGAGCAGGAGGGCGGACGGCGGTGCCCGGGGCCGCTGAGCACCCACACACATCTCTGCCTCGCAGCTGGGCAGGAGTCTGTGGGTTTTCCTTGCAGGATGTGACTATAAAGGCTGGGGGAGGGGCCGGGAGGGGCAGGGGAGGACCGAGGACACCCTCCGCTACCGCAGGCTCGGCCCTCCCACCCGTGCAGACCTGGCCAGAGTGAGGACCCCGTCCCGACCCCCCGTGCGGGTCCCGCTGTCTGGTCTGCACCCACAGGCACACCGGCCCGTCCACTGCCCCACCGGCCGCACCGCCCGGACGGATCCCGGGCCCTCACTCACTCCTCTGGACACTGTCCCTCCCCCAGGGCAGACCCTCGGGAGGCAGGGGGCCAGCGCGACAGCCCCCCTCACAGGCGCCCAGAGCCCACGAGGAGCCGAGGCACAGGCAGGAGACAGGCCCTGGTCAGGCCTCCCTCAGCCTCGGCTGCGGAGGGTCCCGGCTCCAGGGCCGGATTTCGGCCGGCGGGGCAGGCAGTGGCAGTGATGAGGGCTGCAGCCGGGGAACCAGGTGCCTGTGTGCAGCCACGTCTGAGCCCGCAGGGGGGGGAGGCCAGTGTCCCCAGGCCACACGGGAGCCTGACCCCACACGACCGGCCTTGCTGCGAGGAGGGACGGCCGAGAAGACATGGCGCCGGGCACCTGGCGTGGGAGCCCGGATGGGGCTGGGGCACAAGCGCCTTCACGCAGGCCCATCCCGGCTCCCGGGCTGGCCACACCCAGCCGTGCCGCCGAGCGGGCCCGCCCTCTCCAGGTGCCGGCGGGGAGCATGTGCGGGCCGTGTCCGTGTGCTGGGGTGTCACCGGCCCACAAGCTGGAGCGTGTGGCTGCTCGGGAGCCTGGGCAAGGGCGCTCCCAGCTCCGCCGAACAGAGATGATGGTCCAGCCGACTGTCCCTGGAGCACGTGGCAGCCTCAGACGGGGCCTGGGCAGCCCCAGGACAGGTGGCCGCCAGGTGTGTAAAGGTGGAGTGAGCACAGACACACGTACACGTGCGTGTACCACACACACACAGGCACACGCACGCACACACACGTGCACACGCACACAGGCCTGGCACCGCCGGCGCGGTGGCTGGGGCGGCAGAGCAGTTGTTTTGTACCTTTTGAGTCGTGCTGGGGCCCAGGCTCACCTACTCGACAGCTAATCTGAGAACTTTCCCAGAGAGGAGCCTCCCACAGGACGAGGCCGGAAAGTCCCTCCTGCCTGGGCGCAGGTACAGCAGTTCCGGGCCCACCTGCGGGGAAGTCCCCACGACAGCCCCGCGCCGGCCGGCCCTCCAGAGCCTCTGCGGGGGGAGGGGGGGGGGCGCCACGGAGAGGCAGCCCCGCGCAGGCCGGCCCTCCTGAGCCTCTGCGGGGGGGGGGGGGGGGGGGGGGGGCCACGGAGAGGCAGCTGCTGAGAGTGTGTGCCCCTCTCCCGGGACGAAAGGCGTTGTTCTTGCCGAATAAAGAACTGTGGTCTCAGGCTGCGGCGCCTGGGGTCTGAGGCGGCTCCTGCTCCTTCCCAGCACCTGCATCGGGGCCCTGTCCCCCAGGCCGTGGGTCTGTCGCCTGAGGTCCCCACGCCTGGCCCATGTGCCAGGCATCTGCTCACAGGTGACTGACAGCAGCAGTCACTGCAGGCCCAGCCTGCGGGCAGGAGCTCACACCTGGTCCCCCAGACCCACCTGGGCCTGGCCCACCACCTCCCTCCCCACAATCTCCCCCCCACCTTCCTCCTCCCCAATCTCCCCCCATCCCACCTCCCTCCCCACAATCTCCCCCCCACCTCCCTCCTCCACAATCTCCCCCCCACCTCCCTCCTCCACAACCCCCCCACCTCCCTCCTCCACAATCTCCCCACCTCCCTCCTCCACAATCTCCCCACCTCCCTCCTCCACAACCCCCCCACCTCCCTCCTCCACAATCTCCCCACCTCCCTCCTCCACAATCTCCCCCCCACGTCCCTCCTCCACAAGCTCCCCCCCACCTCTCTCCTCCCCAATCTCCCCCCCACCTCCCTCCCCACAATCTCCCCCCCACCTCCCTCCCCACAATCTCCCCCCCACCTCCCTCCTCCACAAGCTCCCCCCCACCTCTCTCCTCCCCAATCTCCCCCCATCCCACCTCCCTCCTCCACAATCTCCCCCCATCCCACCTCCCTCCTCCACAATCTCCCCCCATCCCACCTCCCTCCCCACAATCTCCCCCCCACCTCCCTCCTCCACAATCTCCCCCCCACCTCCCTCCTCCACAATCTCCCCCCCACCTCCCTCCTCCACAACCCCCCCACCTCCCTCCTCCACAAGCTCCCCCCCACCTCCCTCCTCCACAATCTCCCCCCACCTCCCTCCTCCACAACCTCCCCCCACCTCCCTCCTCCACAATCTCCTCCCCACCTCCCTCCTCCACAATCTCCCCCCCACGTCCCTCCTCCACAAGCTCCCCCCCACCTCCCTCCCCACAATCTCCCCCCCACCTCTCTCCTCCCCAATCTCCCCCCATCCCACCTCCCTCCTCCACAATCTCCCCCCATCCCACCTCCCTCCTCCACAATCTCCCCCCCACCTCCCTCTCCACAATCCCCCCCACCTCCCTCCTCCACAATCTCCCCCCCACCTCCCTCCTCCACAATCTCCCCCCCACCTCCCTCCTCCACAATCTCCCCCCACCTCCCTCCTCTACAATCTCCCCCCCACCTCCCTCCTCCACAATCTCCCCCCCACGTCCCTCCTCCACAAGCTCCCCCCCACCTCTCTCCTCCCCAATCTCCCCCCCACCTCCCTCCCCACAATCTCCCCCCCACCTCCCTCCCCACAATCTCCCCCCATCCCACCTCTCTCCTCCACAATCTCCCCCCCACCTCCCTCCCCACAATCCCCCCCACCTCCCTCCTCCACACCTCCCTGCTCCACAATCTCCCCCCATCCCACCTCCCTCCTCCACAATCTCCCCCCATCCCACCTCCCTCCTCCACAATCTCCCCCCACCTCCCTCCTCCACAATCTCCCCCCCATCCCACCTCCCTCCCCACAATCTCCCCCCCACCTCCCTCCTCCACAATCTCCCCCCCACCTCCCTCCTCCACAATCTCCCCCCCACCTCCCTCCTCCACAATCTCCCCCCACCTCCCTCCTCTACAATCTCCCCCCCACCTCCCTCCTCCACAATCTCCCCCCATCCCACCTCCCTCCTCCACAATCTCCCCCCACCTCCCTCCTCCACAATCTCCCCCCACCTCCCTCCTCTACAATCTCCCCCCCACCTCCCTCCTCCACAATCTCCCCCCATCCCACCTCCCTCCCCACAATCTCCCCCCCACCTCCCTCCTCCACAATCTCCCCCCCACCTCCCTCCTCCACAATCTCCCCCCCACCTCCCTCCTCCACAATCTCCCCCCCACGTCCCTCCTCCACAAGCTCCCCCCACCTCCCTCCTCCACAATCTCCCCCCCACCTCTCTCCTCCCCAATCTCCCCCCCACCTCCCTCCCCACAATCTCCCCCCCACCTCTCTCCTCCCCAATCTCCCCCCATCCCACCTCCCTCCTCCACAATCTCCCCCCCACCTCCCTCTCCACAATCCCCCCCACCTCCCTCCTCCACACCTCCCTGCTCCACAATCTCCCCCCATCCCACCTCCCTCCTCCCCAATCTCCCCCCCACCTCCCTCCTCCACAATCTCCCCCACCTCTCTCCTTCACCCCACCTCCCTCCCCACAATCTCCCCCCCACCTTCCTCCTCCACAATCTCCCCCCATCCCACCTCCCTCCTCCACAATCTAACCCCACCCCACCTCCCTCCCCACAATCTCCCCCCTACCTTCCTCCTCCACAATCTCCCCCCCCACCTCCCTCCTCCCCAATCTCCTCCCCACTTCCCTCCTCCACAACCTCCCCCTCCACCATGAGCTCCCATCAGATCTGAAAACAATCTCTGCTTGTTTGTCTGCAAACCCAGGTGTCACCCGCCCATTCCTCTGTGGCAGCCCCAGGCGTGCTGCTCGGAAGTGGATCTCTGTGGCAAGGGCTGGTCACATGGCAGCCAGGGCCCTCTGCTCTGAGGTGGAACCTTCAAGGCCAAGCCGCCCTGCTGGCCAGCGCTGTGCCCCGAGGCACCACAGCCACAAGGAGGGGCCGTGCGGCGGGCGCCGGGGGCGGGCCACACGCCAGGGGTGGGGTCAGGGGCCCGCAGTCATTTACATGCTCAGAGCTTGGTCCCCCTCAGCCCCACACACCAGCCAGAGCACTGGGCACAGCGGACCCAGCCGGCCTGGACAGCTAGCCCCGTGTCACGGCGGACTGCAGGACAAGCTGGTCCCAGCCCCTCCCCCCATCTCCCCGCTCGTGGCCCCTCCCTGCCCCCTCCCCACACCTGGACGCCCATTTCCTCTGGGCCCCTCAAGGGCGGCTCCTGACCTGCCTCCCCTCGACCTGGCGTCGCCCCATCCGGTCGTGGTTCCTGCAGAAACCCCACTCCCACCCAGGCTCCTAACAACCCCTCAAAGCTCAAGGGAAGCCACGTGGCCACAGATGTTCCGAATCACCATTTATGCATTTTTGTCCCCAAAAATAAGCTGGAGGAAGAGAGACGACACGTCAATAAGTTAGTGAGGCTCTGCCAGTCCGTGCCTCTGGGGCGGAGGGCGCGCTGATGCCCGAGCCCGAGCTGCCCCCACGCGGCGGTGAGCAGGGCCGTGGCTGCGCCGTGGCTGCGCCGTGGCCGGGCCGTGGCCGGGCCGTGGCGGGGCCGTGGCTGCGCCGTGGCGGGGCCGTTCTCCTGGCTCAGAACTCCTCGTGCACGCTGCGGGCGTAGTCCACCAGCTTGCTGCCCGTGAAGAACTCGCTGTACTTGAGCACCTCCTCCGGCTCCAGGTGCTGGTTCTGGTTCTCGTCCGCGATGGCGATCATCTGCTTGGCCTCGTTGAGGGCGTTGTACTCGTTCATGGGGTCCATGTACTCCTGCAGGGGCGCCCGGTCAGCACCGCCGGCACACGGGGCCCGGCCGCGCCTGCCCGGCGGCGCCCGCCCGAGCCAGCACCGAGGCCCCAGGGAGCAGCCGGCTGAGGGCCACTGCAGGCCCTGCCTTCTCTCTGACACCCTGTGGACCGGGCCGCGGGACGGATGTGGGAATGTTCTGGAAGAAGGACCCAGGTCTGGCGATGGCCCAGGCCAGGGGGGCGCTGCCTCCGTGGGCTGGGGGAGAGGGCGGGGAGGGGGCCCTGCGGGATGGAGCCAGGGGCTGTTGGTCACATGGACGGGGTCTGGATGGGCCACCAGGACCTGAGCTGCCCCAGCCATCACAGGAGCAGGGAATTCTGAGTAAAACAAAATGACTCACCACAGTGGGAGAGTGCTCTCGGCACGAACACCGAAGGCTCCAACCACACCCTGTGCCCGACCCCGACCCCGATGGGCAGGCTTCTCAGCGCCAGGACTGGCCACGGCGCCCGGGACACCAGGCCCGGGGCACAGGCACGGCCATCCTCTGGGCGTGAAGCTGGCGATGCTGGTGGGGCCTCCCCAAGGCCCACAGCCTCCGCTCAGGTCCCACTGAGTGACCCGTGACCAGGGACCAGCCACAGGAAGCCACCCACTGCGCCTCCTGCTCAGGACCGTCTCGCAGGTGGCTCGCTTGCCATGGACACATCCCCAGGCACCCCCACGTCCCCCCCCACGGCCCCAGGCACCCCCACGCCCCCCCCCAAGGCCCCGGCACTCCGTGCCCCCGCGCCCACCTCCAGCTCGGCCATGGTCACGATGCCGTCGTGGTTGGAGTCGATCAGCTCCTCAAACTCCTTCCGCCGGTCCCGCACCCAGCTGTCGTCCATGTCCTGGCCGTGCTGGTTCTCCACGGTGCCCACGGGCAGGGAGATGAACTCGGGCAGCGAGAGCTGCTTGTCGCCGTCCTGGTCCAGGTCGCGCACGATCTCCTGGACCATGAACCGGAGCATGCCCCGGCTGTGCTCGGGGTGCAGGAAGGACAGGAACTCGTCCTCGGAGAGCAGCCGGTCCGGCGGGGGGTTGTCCGCCTGGTACCAGCGGTCTTTGAGGTTCTCCAGGACTTCCTGCGCTGCGGGGGCACACCTGTGAGCACCCGGCACGGAACACCGCACAGGCCGCCCCCGCCCCCCGCGCCCCTCCCCCACACACACTGCCTCCTCCACACGCACCAGCCCCACATGCGCCGCCTCCCCCGCACACACTGCCTCCCCCGCACGCGCCCCCGCCCTGCACGCGCCCCCCTCCCCCGCATGTGCCCCCACCCCACACACCCCGCCGCCTCCACAGGCACCAGCCCCGCACGCGCCCCCTCCCCCCCGCGCCCCCTCCCCCGCACGGGCCCCGAGTCCCCAGACGCGCTGCCCGGGTGCTGAGGCGGTTTGGGACGGGCTGTGCACACAGGCCCTGCCCTCGGAGTGCAGCCCCATGGACCGGAGATGCCAGGGCCGTGCTCGGGTGCCGGAAGGTCAGCAGCAGGCCCGGCGGGGGCTGTCCTCCCCGCACACAGCCCCAAGTCTCAGACGGGACAGACAGGAAAACAGAGGAGGAGCTGGGGAGGGGACACAGCTGTCTGTTCGCCTGTCAGCGCGCCTGGACCCACGCACAGCTGAGCCTCGATCCCCATAGCATCACAGCCATGGCAGGGCCAGGGGAGGCTGGGAGAGACCGGGGAAGGCTGGGGGAGGCCGACATTCACGTCAGCTACTTTCCTGGCCCAAGAAGGCAGGCTGCGGGCTGACGGCAGAGGGCCTGCCAGGAACAGCAGTGCCCAGGTCCATGGGGGCAGCAGTGGCCCCGGCAGCCTCAAAGCAGAGGATGGGAGGGTGACAGGGACGTCGCCGAGGCTGTCACACACTCCCCCCCCTGCCAGGGCGCAAGAGGCAGGGACAGCGTCGGCAGAGGTGCCTCTGAGAAGCACACGCGTCTGTCCGGGGAGGACGGCACCAGGCCTGGGGCCACGAGGGTGACGACCAGCCGTGCGGAAGGAACAGGCCGTCGGCACCGCGCGGCACGTTCACGTGTCCCACAGCCCCACGCGGTTGGACACAAACCCGGGAGGAGGGCTGGAGGCAGCGGCCAGCGCAGGCAAGCTCAGACCCTCACCCCGGTGAGAAGCGCTTTCAGAGGGCTGGCTCTGTCCTCCCAGCTTCCCCAGCGCCCACCGCCAGGCAGTGCCCCACCTGGTCCCTGGTTCTGACCCCACAGCGCGGCCCCTGCACAGATCATCACCCCCCCCACCCCCCGCCTCCCCCGCCCCTGCCCGGCACTCACTCTCCTCGTCAACCTTCAGCTCCTGGTTGTTCTTTATCTTCTCAGTGACTTCCCGCTCGCTGTGGCCTTTGCTCACCAAGAACTTCACCTTGTACTCCTCCCAGGACACGCGGCCTGGAAAGCAGACTGTTCTGTCAGGGCGCCTAATGACAAGCCCTTCAAACAACATACTCTGTTTCTAACACTTTTACTGATGGCAGAGAGGAGAGGAGAAGGAGGGAAAGACATCAATGCACGCCCCCTACTGGGGATGGAGCCTGCAACCCAGGCACGGGACCCCTGGCTCACAGTTCGATGCTCGACCCCTGGGCCTCACCCGCCAGGCTGTGTGAGGATCCAACAGATTCTTAAAAGAACCCACTGTCTAGCCCGGCCCGCATGGCTCAGTGGTTGAACGTTGGTTGACCTATGAACTGGGGGGTCACGGTTGGATTCTGGGTCAGGATGGGTGCCCGGGCTGTGGGTGATCCCCAGTTGGAGTGCATATAGCAGGCAACTGATGGATGTTTCTCACATCAACGTTTCTCTCTCACTCCTTCCCTGTTGCTCAGAATCGACAAAATCCCAGGCCCGCACTGTGGAGGCAGACGCACCCGGGCGGCCAGCACCTCCCGACAGCAGAGCCAGCTGGGAAGTGGCCTCAGGCAGAACCCCGGGGCCCTTGGGGCTCTCCCGGTCTCCGTCCTGGTCGCCCAGGCCCAGCAGGGCAGGGCCGGGTGAGGGCGTACCGTCGCCGTCCGGGTCCACCGCGTGGAAGTGCGCCTTGCTCTCCTCCACGGCCTCCTGGAAGTGCTCGGCCGTCTTCTCCACGATCCAGCGCTGCATCTCCTTGGCGCTGATCCTCCTGTCGCCGTTCACGTCCACCCTGGGCAGACGGGGGGGGGGGGGGGTGTCAGACAGGGCCAGGGCCACAGCCAGGACAGAGGACACAAGGATGGCGGGGGCACGGGCAGCTGTGAGAGCACCGCGCCCAGGGGAACGTTGGGGACGGGGTCCGGGAGGACACGGGGGACAGCGGGTGGCCGGGGACGCGGGCAGTGTGTCTGCAGCTCTGTCACCGCCCTGGGCAGGCGAGTAGTTCCCCACTTGCCGCTCGATGGGAGAATCACACCCAGCTCCACGGACACAGACCCTGGGATGGGTCAGAGTCCCAGGGCATGGGCTTGGCGGCGAGGCACCCACGCCAGGTGGAGGACAGGTGCCGAGGCACCAGCTGGAGACACGTGTGTGCGACTGCACACATACACACACAGGGCAGTATGCACACGCATCCCCGTGGGCAGCCACACTGGACAGCAGCAGCACACCGGGCCCGGCCAGGTCCCTAAGCTCCCTCTCCTGCAGCAGAGACCAGCACCCTGGAGCCAGGGGACAGGCAGGGACTGGAGTGCCTGGTGCAGTGAACTGAGTCGGGCTCAGTCCTTCGTCCCGCCAGGAGGCGTCCGGCAGGGCTCCCCGGACTGCCTGCTGCCCCGGCAGCTCCTCTCCGGCCCCCCTTTCTCCGGAGCAAGGGACCTGGAAGGCCCTGGTCTGGCCATGGCCCTCTCCCCAACGTTGCACCCAGTCTTCCCCTCGATGTCAAGGGCAGACACAACAGCTCGGCTCCTGCTGCCTCACCTCCCTCTCCTGCTGGTACTGCAGGTGGCGTCCCACCCCCTGCGGCTGCTCGGGCCCCACCAGGCGCCCTGTAATGAGCCAAGCCTGCCCGCTGCCTTCAGCAGGTCTATCCCAGCCCCCCCGAGTCTGCCGGCGGGGGGCCCCAGGCCCTCCTTTGTCTCTGCCCTTGCTGGCCCCTGTGTGTGGAGGGCACGGTGAGCCCCAGGCCTCTCGCTCCGTCTCATAGGCATTTCCTAGGACACAGGCGCATGGGGCACCCAGGCGGGCCCTGCTCCAGGCCACCCCACAGCCCTTCCAGCTGCAGGACCCTCGCTCCGGCCGGAGCCCCTCCTGGCCCACGTGCTGCTCAGGCTCCACGTCCTCAGCCTGACCCCTGTGACCCCTGTGACCCCCGCAGACTCTCCGAGCGCTGGCCGCCAAGAGCAGCCACGGCACCTTCCTCCGCAGCAGGCACCTCCCTCGCCGCACAGTCAGGCCTGGACCAGCAGGGCCCCGGAGCCCCGCCCACGTGCGCCCACCCAGGGCCACCTACTTGGAGAAGATGACCATCAGCTTCTTCCTGCTCTTCCGAGGCTCCGCGTCCTCCTCGAACCCGTCCGTGTCCTTCCCCAGGAAGACCTCCTGGTGGAAGTCCTTGTTGAGGTGCCCGTCCATCTCCAGCTTCACCCCGTTCAGGTGGTCAGGGGGCAGGATCTCATTGTCCTCCCTGCGGCCGCCTCTGTCCCGGGCAGACGAGTGGTTGGCAGGCCGGGCGGATGTGTCCATCAGCAGGACAAGGCCCAGGAGCCAGAGGCAGCGAGGGGCCAGGCCACAGCAGGGAGCTGGCCTGGACGCCATGGCCCCGGGTCCGGGCCGAGGGGCGCCTGCGCGTGTGGCCAGGAGCTGGGGAGAGAGGAGAGGCAGGGAGGAAGTGAGACCACAGTCCACGGCCGTAGGCCCCAGCGAGGGGTGACGGTCCAGAGAGGACACAGCCGCTGCTGGACAGACCCCCAGCAAGAGCTGGACTGAAGAGGCGCCTTCTAGGCCCACGCAAGGAACGCTGCTTGCTCCGCCTCCCTCTGCGAGAGGCTGCCCCTCTCAGCGCCGTCCCTGTCCCTCCCAGCAGCGGCATCGAGGCCGAGCCTCCAGTCCTGGGACCTCTCTCCAGATCTCAACTCAGCACGTGTGAGCTCTGCGACCTCGGCCGAGCCCCCGACCTCCTCAACCTCAGTGTCCCCATCAAACAGGAACCCTCACCCCACCCCAAGGCTCTATGAGGGCTGCACCTGTGCCAGCAAACACCCAAACTGCCCCTCAGGGCCTTCCTCCCTCCCTCCCTCTCAATGACCCCTATGTGTCCTCTCTCTCTCTCTCTCTCTCTCACACACACACACCTACATGTGTACAACCACACTTACATACATGCGCAAACACACACCTATGTGTGTACAACCACGCTTACACACATGCGCTCGCACACACACACACATCCTTGCTCCTGTTTGTGCAGGAGCCCCCGGAAGTCTGCCACCAGGACACCTGCCCCTGGCGGACAAGGAACAAAGGATCCTGTCCCCACTGCCGGGCGAGGGGTCCCACCACAGCCTCACCCTCACCTGCCTGCCACCTGGGCCCCTCTCCAGGGCCCTCCAAGTCGGGAACAGGGCCCACCTGGACCTTCACAGTCACCCAGAGGGAACCCCAGCTCCTCCTGCCCCCTAACCTGCCCCTCTCCCAGTCTGTCCACCTGGCAAACACCTGCTGGTCCTTCCGTGTGCGGCTGAGGCCCCGCCTCCTCTGACAGTGTTCCCAGGAGGAAGGGGAGTGGCCCTGAGCACACCCCCCTCAGGCCCGGGTCCTGCCAGCAGCAGCCCAGCCGGGCATGTGGAGTTCAGGAACAAGGGAGCACACTCTCAGCCGAGGGCACACGGGGCCGGAGGCCGGCGGCTGCCCCTGGCCTGGCCCCTGCCACCACTGGCTTCTCTGATGCCTCCTGTGAACGCCACCCGCTCCCGACAACACCCCGAGGCCTCAGCCGGTCTAGCTCGGTGCCATTCCTTCGGGGGCGTGAGTCCCCAGGGCAGCCTGACGTCCCTCTTCCCAGGCCTGCGGGACCGGCGCCTCCCCACACCCACCGCGCCCGCGGGCCGTCCAAAGCGCTCCGGGCGGTGACCAGCCTGAGTCACAGTAACTGGAACTCCCTGTGTCCGTCAGCTTCACGCCCAGCGCCTGTCACGCCGTCCACGCACAGCGGGCGCTCAGCCAGGCAGAGGGCCGGGCCCTGAAAGGTGCACGCGGGACACCCCTGGCCCTGACCCAGAGCTGTACCCCAGCGGGAGGGCCGACAGCCGGACACGCAGCTCGGGGTCACCCAGGGGCTGCGGTCCAGGTGGGCCACCCCAGGCAGCCTCCTTCCCGCGGCGGGGGTGCCCGCGCCCGGCGCCCCCACCCCGTCCGGCTCTCCGGGCCACCAAGGCGCCAGCTTCTGGACTGACAGCCCCGCGGCTGGCAGCCCCGACGGACGGCACCCCGCTCCCCGACAAGGGCAGCCCCGCCTCCGCCACCTCCACGGGCGGCGCACGGGCGTCCGGGCACAGGGCACAGGGCACAGGCGTGGGGAGGCCGGAGGCTCCGCCCCGGCGCACGGCCTCTCCCGGGGCCCCCGCCCGTCCCCGCCCGGAGGCGACAGCGCGCGGGACGCGCCACAGGCCCCGCTGAGCGGCGGCGACATTCCGCGGCCGCCCCGGGGCACGGGCCCCGCGGAACCAGCTTCCGGTCGCCCAAACGCCAGCGCCAGTTCCACACCTGCTCCGGCGCCGGCGGGCGTCCGGTCTTCACCGAGCCGGGCCGAGCCGACAGCGGGCGCCGCGGGCCCCGCGTCGCAGACGAGGACGGGGAGGTCGCCCCGCGCCGCCCGCGCCCCTCGGCCCGTGTCCCCGACACCCGGCCGCGCCGGCCGCGCCCGCACTCACCGCCGGGAGCCGCCGAAGCTGTGACGCCTCCAGCCAGACTCCGCTAGGCCGCGGCCATCTTTCTTCCGGGAAGAGGCGGGGCTCCGGGCTGGGGGGCGGTGCGACCTCGCGCGCTGACGCCAGAGCCGCCATCTTGCTTCCGGGCGGAAGCGGCCCTCCCAGGGCGACCAATTGCAAGGGCGCGCGGGGCTACGTGACGGGAAGCGGGCCACGTGACGGACAGCCGGCCCACGTGACCGGCGGCCGGCTGGGCCCGCAGCCTCGCGGCCGGTGGACCCGGGGGCCTCGGCGCGCCCGCAGGCGGCCGGCGCGCCATGAAGCTGCCGCGGCGCGCGTGGCGGCACCGGACGGCGCTGGGCCTGGGCGGCCTGGCGCTGTGCGGCGTCGCCCTGCTCTACCTGGCGCGCTGCGGGGCCGAGGGCCCTCGCTCACCGGCCGGCCACGGCCCCGGCCCCCCGCCCGCCGGCCCCACGCGCGACGCCGCCTTCCTGGCCGTGCTGGTGGCCTCCGCGCCGCGGGCGGCCGAGCGGCGCAGCGTGGTCCGCGGCACGTGGCTGGCGGCGGCGCGGCGCGGCGGCCCGGGCGACGTGTGGGCGCGCTTCGCCGTGGGCACGGACGGCCTGGGCGCCGAGGAGCGGCGCGCCCTGGAGCGCGAGCAGGCGCGGCACGGCGACCTGCTGCTGCTGCCCGCGCTGCGCGACGCCTACGAGAACCTCACGGCCAAGGTGCTGGCCATGCTGGCCTGGCTGGACGAGCACGTGGCCTTCGAGTTCGTGCTCAAGGCCGACGACGACTCGTTCGTGCGGCTGGACGCGATGCTGGCCGAGCTGCGCTCCCGCGACCCCGCGCGCCGCCGCCGCCTCTACTGGGGCTTCTTCTCGGGCCGCGGGCGCGTCAAGCCGGGGGGCCGCTGGCGCGAGGCGGCCTGGCAGCTCTGCGACTACTACCTGCCCTACGCCCTGGGCGGCGGCTACGTGCTCTCCGCCGACCTGGTGCGCTACCTGCGCCTGAGCCGCGAGTTCCTGCGCGCCTGGCACAGCGAGGACGTGTCCATGGGCGCCTGGCTGGCGCCCGTGGACGTGCAGCGCGAGCACGATCCGCGCTTCGACACGGAGTACAAGTCCCGCGGCTGCAGCAACCAGTACCTGGTGACGCACAAGCAGAGCCTGGAGGACATGCTGGAGAAGCACCAGACGCTGGCGCGCGAGGGCCGCCTGTGCAAGCAGGAGGTGCAGCTGCGCCTCTCCTACGTCTACGACTGGTCGGCGCCGCCCTCCCAGTGCTGCCAGAGGAGGGAGGGCATCCCCTGAGGCGGCTGCTGGCGGCGTGGGGTGGCCGGGACCAACGCCCCGCAGCCCTCCTTCGGCAGCCCCCCAAGCCGGCCTTCCCCTAGGGGAGCTGACCGGTCCGGCTGGTTGTCTGGGATGAGTCCAGCACCCGAGGGGGCCCTCGTTTCTGTGGTCACTGGTGGGGCTGTTCAGCACATGCCGTGCAGCACGGACAGCTCCTGGACCCCAGGTCCAGTCTGCACCCCGGAGCCCGCACCTCAGTGGCTGCACCTGCCGCCTTGTTCAAGAGCCTCTTGCTCTGCGGCTTGCCAGGGCGACGCATCGTGTCCAGGGAGAAGCGTCCTGCCCCTGGGTTTCAGCCAGCATTTGCCCGGACTGGGAAGATGCCCAACTTTGGGTGCGAGTGGGGAAGAGCCTCCGGGGTCTGCAGGGGCCTGCAGACCCTTTACCCCTCTCTCCCCCCACCCCGTCCTGCTGTCCTGCCCCACCCAAGTCAGGGACCAGGAGCCAAAGGCTGGAGCTGGAGCGGACCCGCACTTGCAGGCTCAGCTCTGCTTGTTCCGGGCGGTACGACACCCTGTCCTGCATCCCGTTCCAACCCAGCGTCCACTTGGAAGTCACTGCCCCCAGCGCCGGGCCTGCTGTGAGCTGACCTGGCCGCGTGCTGCACCCCAGTGGCAGCTGGAGAACGGCGGTCAGGCGGCCTCCTGTGCGTCTTCCTGTCGGTGTCACTCGTGTGCGCGTCCCAGGTCGGACTCCTTTTTACGTCCATTCCCTGTGTCTCCCGGCAGCGGGTGTGTGGTCAGCGCTCCTCGGCTCCTGCCGGTGCTTTATTTATAAACATTGTGCGTTTGTGTAGACGGGAGCTCCGGCCGGGAGTGTGTGGTCTCAGTGTTTTTCCTTTTGAATTGTTGGAGAAGCTGTTTCTGTCGGAACGGGAATCCTGGATTAGTCTGTTTGGACAGAGGGAGCCGTAGACCCGCGGCTGCATGTGTGTTTAAACACGGAGGAATTCTAAGACCGTCCCATTTCTCTTTTCCGTTTACACACACGTCCGTCCTATTGTCTCTTTCCGAAAAGACTCCTTTTAAGGCTGCCTCGTGGCCGCCCGGGGGCGAGGCTGCTCACGCGGCCGCGGCGGTGCCGGTTCCGGGAATCGGACCCTGGAATGTTGCTGAGGTTCCCTGAGTCGCTTCTTAAGAGAAGCGGCGTCTGGCCGGCGGGTGCTCTTGGCGGAGGCGATGGTGTGCACCGGCTGGCGCCTCGCACACCCCGCCGTCCTCGGGACTCCAGGCCTCCCTCTTCCCCACGCGGCTGGGGTGACCCCCAGGAGTTCGCCAGGAGAAGTCACGGGCTGCCCGCTCCCGTTTCTACGAGGTCTTTGCACCAGCAGAGTCCCCGAGACGGGACAATGAGTGCTGCCAGGGCCCAGGAGGGGTGCATGGGAGGGGGACCTCCCAGGGTCGGCCTGGGTGACGCTGCCCTTCGGTTCTGCACACTCCACTCTGAGGGCCTGGGCCAGGGGCCCCCGTCTCCTCGCATCGTTCCCGTTATCCACAACTGTACATTTAGCTTTGAAGTCTGTGTATCGGCACAAAGAACAGCGGGTGGAGACGGGTTGCAGCCGGAAGCCCTGGCCGCCACCCCCAGAGGCCGGAGAGGCATGGGAGGGTGTCCCCAGAGTCTCAGGGGCACGGCCCTGCGGAGCCCGTGTGCCACCTTCCGGCCGTGAGCCACAGAGGACCCTGGCCTGGCCCTCCCTGCAGTCATGGCCCTCGCCCCGCTAGGGTCCTGTTCCTCCCGCTGTGCTCTGTGGGGACTTGCTGGGCTCAGACCCCACAGCCCCTGGCCAGGCCCAGCCTCCTCTTCCCTGGGCTCAGCCTCCGGGCTGGGAGGATGGGCCCCGTTGTGGCCACTGCCCAGCCCCTGCAATCCCATGCCTGTGGGTCTGGCCCTCGCCCCCCGCCGGCTGGGTGACTGCCCTGGCTCCGTCCAGCCCAGAGTCCAAAGGGTCCGAGGGGCGGCCGGTGCGCCCCTCTCGGCCCCAGCTACCGGGGACCCTGTCCACAGTGTGATGCCTTTTGCCCTCCCGGGTCCAGGAGGCACGTGGCAGACAGGCCTCCAGGAGAGCCACAGGGAACTCAGGTTCAGATGGGGGGGAGGGGCGGGAACAGGGAGTTCGGAGTATGCTCCCCCCCGTCGTGCCTCCACCTGGTTCCGGGGGCAGGGACGGGGGCAAGGCTCGGGCTGTGCTTCCTGTCACCTGGGTTGACTGACCTGTCCTGGCACCATGGCTGTCCCTCTGTCCCTCCTCCAGGCCTGGCCTCAGAGCAGAGTCCAACCAGTGGGTCTCCCTGTCTGAGCCCTGAGGCGCTCCCCTCCTTGGGGTTACCTCCCAGCCCCTGCAGGAGGGGCTCCCCACAGCCCATCACCTGGCTCCTGTGGCCACACCCCCTTCTTGGGGGCCAGGTGGGCTCACACCCTTAGCTCTGCTCCCCCAGTGCTCATCACAACCCCACCCTTTCTCCACTGTCTCCCCCCTCCAGCTCCCTCCTCCCCCCTCATCCACTGTCCCCCCTCCAGCTCCTCCTCCCCCTCATCCACTGCCCCCCTCCAGCTCCCTCCTCCCCCCTCATCCACTGTCCCCCCTCCAGCTACCTCCTCCCCCCTCATCCACTGTCCCCCCTCCAGCTCCTCCTTCTCCCCCTCATCCACTGTCCCCACTCCAGCTCCCCCTTCTCCCCCCTCATCCACTGCCCCCCTCCAGCTCCCCCTCCTCTCTCCCAGCCCTCCCTGGCCCCACGCCATGTGGGGCCTGCTCCTGCGGGACGCCGAGAGCCAGCCTCCTGCCTGCCTGCTGGCCGGCCTCAGCCCTTGAGACCCGCAGTGTGCACCCGGCAGGCACCCCAAGCTCTGCCCGGGCCGGAGTTGAGAGGAGGCCGTGGCCATGGCGGGTGCCTCAGCCCCGCTCACTGGCGCCCCGTGACCCACGTGGGAAGCAGGTGCCTTGGCTTCCTGTAGGCAGGGCAGGGCCCCAGGCCTGGGCGGAGGTCGGCAGCGGTGCAGCCTGGTCCAGGCACCCAGGGGCGGCCAGCTCCACCCGCTAGCAGGTTCCTGCCGAGGAGGATCCTGGAGGCCCAGCCGCGGCAGCAGCTACGGGTGGGCGGGGGGCTTCTGCCCTCCCGACACTGGGGGTGGGGGTGGCGCTGGGCCGTCTCCGTGAACGTGGGGCCCCCGGGAGTGGGAGCACCAGGGCTCTTCAGAGGGGGCTCCCCTGGAGCCTGGAGATGAGAGCACCGCCCTGTGACGGGCTCTGTGGCTGGGGCCTCGCCTCTGCAGGTCACGCCGCCCCAGGGCCCTGTGCTTTTCCTGCACAGGGTCCCAAGGCCCCCTCCCAGCCTGCGGGTCCCCCGGGGGGCTCAGTGGCCGTGGCACCGGGTGAGCGGAGGCTGGGGACCAGCTGGGTGGCAGCAGTGGCCTGGGAGCGGGACAGCGGTCAGTTCCCTCCAGAGCAAACCACGGGCCGTGGCCGAGCCTCACGGCAGGAGCCAGGGCCTGACCGCCCTGTGACCGGGAACAGGAAACGCAAGCCCTGGCCCCTCCTTCCAGGGTGTTGGGGGTCCCAGACTCTGCCCCCCCCCCGCAGGGCCCTGCACCCCCCGCCACAGCTGCCCACCCAGTCCTGACAGGGAGCAAGTGAGGGGCAGGTGGCCAGAGCTGGGCCCAGGCACGTCCCCCGAGGAGGGCTGAGGCGGGAAGCACGTGCTGGGCCATGGCCGTGGGCGGGGGTGGGAGGCCAGGACACGCCCCGGAGACACTGCCTCGCCCCCCGGTGCCTGCTCTTGCTGCTCTTCTCTGCCGCCCCCCCCCCACACCCCGGTGCCAGCAGACAGCCGGAGGGCCCCGGGCACAGGCGGGGGTCGCGCAGCCCTTGCTGAGCCCCAGGTGCGTGTGACACGCCGGCTGTTGCAACACCGATGTTATCGGCCAGAGGAACCGTGAGTCACGGAGCGGGGGCTGCACCCCAAACTCCAACAAAAGCCCTTTGTCCCTGCACCCCCGCTTCCTCGCCGCCAGCTGTGCACCCGCAGACGGTGACCGTGGGCAGGGCCAGCCCCTCGGTGCCTCAGCCCAGCGTCAGGGGTCGGCCTCGGAGACCCCGGGCTGCGGGAGACCCCGGGCCACGGAGACCCTGGCCTCGGAGACCCCAGGCCTCAGAGACCCTGGGCTGCGGGAGTCTCTGGGCCTCGGAGACCCCAGGCTATGGAGACCACGGGCCTCGGAGATCACAGCTCCTGGGCCACTCTGTTTGGGGGACTAAAAACCAGCCTCTGATGGGCCCTGAGCAGTGCCCTGAGGCCACACACAGCTCGGGGCCCAGAGGGCACACTGGCCCAGGCCTATCAGTGAGTGAGGGCCCCCGCCACAGCCCCCTGCTCCCGGTCATGGCTCAGACCTGTTAGCGCTCGGTGCAAGGCCGAGGCCTCGGCACCATCGTGCCCTGCTGCCCCTGGGAACTCCTCCTGCCAGGGTCCCCCTCTTCCCGGCCCCTCAGCCAGAGTCCCCACTTTGAGGCCCCCCAGTTCTGTGGTCAGCCAGGGCTCCAGCCATCAGGTCTCAGACACCTGCTCCTTCAGCTAAGAGCCAGATCTCAGGGGAGACAGAGGGACAGGGACCCCACCCATCTACATGTCACATGTGTGCACGCGCAAACACGTGCACACACACATGTGCACACACGCAGGAGCCCTGCAGCTCTCTCTGAGCCGAGGCAGCATCACAGCCACCAAGGAGGTGGGGTTGGCAGGGTCAGCTCAGGGAGCCCCGAGAATCCGCCCAGGCCCCCTGATCCCCATGCCCCACACTCCCCGCGCCCCTCGTGCCCAGGCCACGCTCAGGCCTGGGCCCAGCTCACAAGACCAGGCTCAGTCTGGTGTGAACCTCCTGGGACAGACACCCCAGGGGGCCTTGGAGCAGACGTCCCTTCTGGTCCCAGACCAACCCGAGGAGGCCAAGGGTGGCCCAGCGCCCAGCTCTGGCCGCTGAGGGCCTGCCTGGCTGCACCTTCAGACCCCAGGGCCCAGGCCATGTGCCCAACTCCCCTGCAAGCTCGCCCGGCCTGTGCCAGCCCACAGCCCCCGGGGACCATCTCACAGCTGGGACCCACCTCCCACTCCTGCCACAGCCTGGGGTGGGGCCTGGCGGTCCAGTCCTCGGCTGCTCCTGGCCCCAGGGCCGTTCCAGCTGCCCTGAGCCAGACACCCGCATTCCTGTCTACACTCCAGCCCAACCACTGACTGCCACTGAGGGTGCTGGGGGCAGGCTCTGAGCCAGGACAGACCCCCTGCGCCCAGCACCCCGGGCCACCTCGGGGCGAGGAAGGGCCCATCAGGTGCAGCCTGGCTGCGGCCCCGAGGCCCAGGTTTGGGGAGCGCCCGGCCAAGGGCCCCTCAGCCCCTGGCAGGCGGCAGGTCAGACAGAGGATCTGGGAAGGGAGCCCTAGGGGGTCAACGAGGTCAGCCAGGCCCCTCCCGCTGCCGGGGAGGGCAGACGCCGGTCAGGGTCAACCTGAGGCTGCCTAGCACCGCCGGCCGCTTGGCTCTGCTGCAGCCAGACGCTCGGGCGGCCCCTCAGCCCAGGCCACGGCCAGAGGCCCGGCCAGGGGGAGAGCCCGCCCTGCGGTCCCCTCTCCCGGGGCCCCCAGCAAGCTCCCACCTCAGCAGCAGCGGGTCGGACCCCTGTGTGGGCGGGACCACAGGGCCCAGGCCCCCCAGGGGCTCCGGACCCTCCAGCACCGCAGGTCCGAGGGGCCTGGAAGACAGTGGGACTTGGATGGATGATGAGGCGGAGCTCAGGGTGGGGCCTCTGGGGGCTCACTCCTGTCTGCACTGCCGTGGGCGGGGGGCAGCCTTTGTCTTTCAAGGCTGGTCTGAGCCTGGGGCCTGAACCCCAAGCCCTGGGCCTCCCAGTTCACACCCCAGGCCCTCCCTACGGCAGTCACAGCCCCTGCCTGGCCCCCACCCCCGGTCCTGCACCCCCGGTCCTGCACCCCAGCCGTGGGGCTGGAGAACGCACATTCCAGGGGCCTCCCTCCCAGCGGCGAGGTAATGACCGGAGATTAGGGCCGGGATGAGGATGAGGGCGAGACAGGCAGGTGGAGCCGGGCGCCAGGACGCCCCGACCCGACCTGGCCTCCTGCCCGCGGTGAGCTCCCGGGGCGGCCTGGCCTCGCCGCCTCGTCTCTCGTCTCCTCGTCTCCTCGTCTCTCCTCTCTCGTCTGTCTGCGGGCCTGGCCCGTCTCCGGGGCCGGGTCTCCATCTCTGTCATCACGGCCCCCGGAGCCGGTCTGGACGGGGAGGCAAGACTGGCCGCCTCCCGGGCGAGGTGGGCTGGGGGCCTGGCTGGCATTGGCGACGTAGGAGAGCACCCTGGGGCGCCAGGACACCCAGAGGCCCCGGCACGGCTGAGGGTCTGGCTACCGCTGCCCACAGTCCCTCTGCGTCCCCACCAGCCGGCAGCCCAGGGCGGGCGCCTCTGCAGACAGGCTCCCAGCCCCTGCGAGCCTGCTCCCCCACCTCCTCCACCCGCCCCTCCTCCCCACCCCTCCTCACGAGGACCACAGCGCCCATGCCCCTCCCCCGCAGGCAGGCTGCAGGACATCGCCACGCCGGCCGGTCGGCCAGCCGGCGCCTACAGTTGCTGTGAAGCAGACACCCCCCTCAACTCCCCCAGCCCCTGACGCCACCCTGGGGGGACCAGGGGGAGAGGTGGGGATGGGTCAGTGGCCAAGCCTGGCTCGGCACAGACCAGCGCCGGCCCGGCACCAGGGCTCCCTGCCTCATTACCCAGCCAGGCCGGCAGGTCTGGGGGAGGGGCTGGGTGATGGCCGGCAGGCTCCGGCCTCCGCCTGCCCCCCTCCCACACCTGCCCCCCCAGCCCCGGCCCTCCCCGCTCCCTGCCCCCCTCTGCAGGACCAGGATGCCTCCTCTGTCTGCTCAGCCTGGGAACCAGGGTCTCTGAGCCTCTCGCTGCTATGGATGGAGCCGAACCCCACCCCCACTGCCACCCCGGGGCGTCTCTCCAGAGGTCAGGGGTCAGCCTAGTGATCCTGGTGGAGCGCCCGCCCAGGGCTCAGGTGCCAACCAGAGAAGGTACCAGAGATGGTATCTCCAGGCTTCGGAGGCCTGGACATCCAGGGACCAATTTACATTCTTCGGTCTCGGTTTGCTGGGACCAAAACGGGGTGGGGGCAGGGGCCCTAAACCCACAAGACCGGAGGCGGGGTCCTGGCTGCCGACCTGGCCTGGGGCGGTCTGGCCCCATCTGTGGAGGGGGGGTTTTCGCATCCACCTGGGGCGGCCGCCACTTGGGGGAAGGTGGCAGGAAGCTCTGCGCCCCCGCTGGTCTGGGCCAGACCACCCGCAGGCCACCCTGAGCACCCAGCACCCTCGCAGGTCCACGGGGTGCCTTCCTGGGCGTGGCCCACACCCCGCCGCTCCCCAGCCCCACAGCCCACGCCACCCTGCTCACCACGCTCTGGGACACCCAGTGCCCCGAGGCCGGACCCGTCTGCACCCAGGGCCGTCTCCAAGGCCGGGCCAGCCCCGGGGACGAGCAGAGGGGGCTGTCAGGCCCGCGCGGGGACCTGGACGGATATCCGTCTTTGTCCACAGGGTACGATGGACCCCAGCAGGTCTGGAGGCTGCAGGGCCACAGGCTGCAGGGCACTCAGAACACCCAAACCAACGCCCTGCCCTCCATGCCCCCCGCTAGTCCCAGGCAGACACAGCGACCAGGCAGCAGGGCAGGCTGGGGCTCTTTATTGTGTGACCACACGTGGCACAGAGGGCAGCGCGGAGGGGTCGGCGGCAGCTCCCACGGCCCCAGGGGCCTCCGGACGCAGCTCCCGGGGCCGGCCGCCCTCAGGCGCCCAGCAGGAGGCCGGAGAAGCTGGAGCCGCTCTGCACGGTGAGCGGCGCCCCGGAGCCGTTGTCCACGAAGACGGAGGCGTACTGTCCGGCCTGCGGACACCCACGGCGGAGTCACCCCACGGGGCCCGCCCACCCCAGGCTGTGGCATCCGGGGTCCCGAGTGGCCACGTGGCTCAGGCGACCAGACGTCCCGCTTTTTAACAATTTGTCCCGCGTCCGGCGGCGTTTTAAAAAAATGGGGACCTTTTTAAAACGCCGTGGGACACGGGACAAATCGTTAAAAATCGGGACGTCTGGTGACCTTACACGTGGCCCATGTCCATCCACGGGCTGAGCCCCAGAGGCACGGCCCCTCCCGGCCGCCCCCCCCCCCCCCCCCGCCCTCACCTGCAGCTGGAGCAGCCCGTGCACCAGCACCGTGAAGATCCTGCCGCTGCCCTCCAGGCCCGAGACGGCCTCCAGCGACCTGGGCACGTCCAGGGTGAGGGCACAGTCGCAGAGCTGCCTCCTGCTCAAACCCGGGTCCCGCAGGCCGGACCCCCCCCCCAGACCCCTCCCCTCCCCTGGGGCAGCACCGTCCACACTCAGGCACCCAGGGGCCCCCTCCACTCACGTGTGGCGATGGCACAGGCTCTCGATGCAGATGAGCGCCCGCACCGTGTCCCGGGCGCGGGCCCGGCCCTGCAGGCCCCTGCGGTCTGTGGTGGCAGCAGCCTCAGCGCTCGGGGAGGACAGAGCGGAGAGGGGGGGAGGGGGCGCCGGGGGAGGGGGGCATTTCGGGGCACCTGCCCAGCACAGGCACAGGAGTGGCTGCGAGCTGGGGCGGGTGGGCTGGGCCCTGCCCAAGCCCCCGAGGGAGCCGGGTTTGAGCAGGAGGCAGCTCTGCGACGGGACCCAGGCCCAGACTGCCACGCCGGGACCCCCTGAGAGACGCCCGCCCACACGGGCTGTCCGCCCCGCTCACCCAGGTGCAGGCTGGCCCAGAACTGGAAGATGGCAGCGACCGGGGCGGTGAATCGGCCCGAGGCCAGGCTCAGGCCCGAGCCCCGCAGGAAGGCGCCCTGGGCGGTGGGCTGCAGGGACGGCAGGGGAGCGTCCGGCTGCAGGCCTGGGCACCAGCCTGGACGAGGCGCCTGCAGCCCACCGCCCCGCCCAGAGCACACCCCGGCGGGAAGGATGAGGGCACAGCCGTGCGGCCGCTGGGCCCCGGGGCGGACGGGCACCCAGGGACAGACAACCCGCCTGGCCACCTCGGGCCCCACTCACACGCCTGGCGCAGGAGGGGGGCTGGGGACACGGGACTAGTCCTGACCACTGGTGGCCACGCCCCCACGCCCCGGCATCCTGCCCCAGCAGGGTCCCCAGAGACACCGGGGTCTTGGGGGGCCCGGGCGCCCCGCACTCACGGCCTGGAAGCCCTGCAGCTCCACCAGCGTCTTCTTGTCCACAGGCACCGGGCCCCGCAGCCGGCAGTGGAAGGCCTCGGCCACCAGCGGCCCGCCCGGCCCCTCGGGCAGCAGCGAGCCCCATGCCCCCGAGAACCGGCGCTCGGTGGCCTCTGCGGGGACCACGGGGGTCAGCGGATCGGCCCCCCCCCCCCCCCCGAGCCTCTGGGAGGATGTGGGCAGGAGCAGCTCACCTCTCAGCATCTCCTGAAACTCCTGCAGCAGAACCTCCCGGGTGACTTCTGCACCCGCGGGCCCAGGGGGTCCCGGGGGGCCGGGGGGCCCGGGGGGGCCGGAGAGGCCTCGCTGGGAGAGGCAGGAAGGAGGCTGTGAGGGTCCGAGCGGGAGCCACAGCCGCCCTGCCCTGGGCTCAGGCCCCGGCTCAGGCCCCAGCTCAGACCCAGGCCCCAACCCCGGGCTCAGGCCCTGGCCCAGCCCTGGCTCAGGCCCCGGCTCAGACCCCCGCCCCCCCGGCCCAGGCCCCGGCTCAGCCCCGGCCCAGCCCCAGCTCAGCCCCCCCCCCCCCGGGTCAGCCCCGGCCCAGCCCCGGCCCAGCCCTGGCCCAGCCCTGGCCCAGCCCCGGCCCAGGCCCGGCTCAGGCCCGGCTCAGGCCCCCGGCTCCGGCCCAGCCCCGGCCCAGGCCCGGCTCACCGACTTCTTGTCCCGGCCCCGGCACCGCTTCTTCGAGGCCCCGTCATCCGGCCGCCGGACGAAGTTCAGCCATGTGGTGTGGGCATCTGAGAGCTCGGGCCCCGAGGCCTCGGGCAGCTGAAGGGCCAAGTGGCTGGGCTAGTGTGCTGAGGGCCCCACGGTCCTCCCTGCCGCCCCAGGGCAGACAGGGGGCCCTCAGGCCCAGCCTGCCTCAGGCAGGACTTGGGGTGAGGGTGCCACGAAGGCTATTCCTGGGCACTTGGACCAGGACTCGGCATCGGGCAGAGCGAGGGCGAGGGGCCCTTTGAAAGCCAGGCATGGCGTCCGGGCACCTCGGCTCTGGCTCCGTGTGGTGACCTGCCCTCTCTGTCCGCCTGACCCCAGGCAGACGGGCACGCCGGGCACATGCAGGGCAGCCTGTGGGTCCCACCAGGGGCGTGGCCAGCCGAGGCGGGTGGAGGGGTCTCCAGGGTCTGAGAGACCCGGGGCACCGGCTCCGCTGGGGAGGGGACGGGCCTGCTCCTCAGGCTCAGACCCAGGCCCCGGGGCCAACCTCCTCGCTGTCCGAGGGAGGGAGGGCTGGGAGGGGCAGTGCCGAGCAGCCTGAGCCCGTGCCCAGCCCTCTACCCACCTCCTCAGCCAAGGCGGGCGGGAGAGATGGGAACACCCTGCCTGCCTCTGGGGAGACCCGGGCGGTGAGGGGTGTGGGCTGGAGGGAATCCCATCCTCTCTGAGGAGGTCTGTGCGGGATTCAGACAGAAGCCCAGGAAGGAACAGCAGCTGAGCAGATGCTGGGGGGGCGGGGGCGCGTGCGCGGGCAAAGGGGCAGCCCCTGCCACGCCCCAGGAGCCACCCCAGGCAGGACAAGCCCCAGGTCTGGGCCCAGGGGTCCGGCCCCAGGTGCCGTCCACAGACAGCCCCAGCCCCAGCCCCAGCGAGCACCAGGCTCGGGGGCAGCGCAGCCTCCTCCCAGCTCAGGTGGGCCCTGTCCTGGGGGGAGCTGGGAGGGGCAGGGGCCCTAAAGGGTCCAGGAAACGAGCTGGGGTCCTAACGGGGGAGGGGCAGCTGGGTCACGTGCCACCTGGGAGGGCACCCCCGGGAGGCCCGCCCGGGACAGAGGTCCCCCTGTCCGGGCCCGGTGCCCTGGCTGGGCGGCAGCCGCGCCTCCCCGCTGGCAGGGCCAGGGACTCTGGAAACCGGGGCCTCGGGCTCCATGGGGTGCGTGGGCTGGGAGCAGCCAGGCTGGCCGCCACAGAGACGCCCTTGGGCGGCAGGAGGCCGGGATCAAAGGCAGCGGGCTGGCGGGGGGCCTGTCCCAGCAACTGCCGCTCCCCTCGAACCCGGCCCCGGCCCCGGCCCGGGGTCAGCGGCAGAGCCCTCAGGGTGTCCTCCCCGGGCGGAAGCAGGTGCGGGGCTCAGGTCCCCGGCCAGAGGGACCCTAAGAGCCGGAGCATCCCACCCAGAGGCCATGGGGGCGGGGGGAGGGGGCTGCTATCAGCAGGGCGAGGCCCAGGAGCTCAGGGTCCGGGCTGGCCTCGGCCTCTCCCCCGGGAGTGGAGGGCAGGTTCCCGCGAAGGAGTCCTGGCAGCCAGGGGCCCGCCCCACTCCCGCCTGGGTCACACCCGGAGGCTGGGCCGGGTGCTGGGGTTTCCAGGGTCTTGGCTCGGCCCCCCTGGTAAGGCACTCCCCTCCCACACACCCCACACCCCTCACGGCCAGGGGGGCCCAGGGGGCCCCTCACGCGCCCGCAAAGTCCCCGGGTCCCACCGCACCGGCCGGGCAGGGGCTGGTGGAGCCCCCGCGGCCCCGGGGCGCCCTCCGCACGTACCTTGGGGGGCCCGGGCGGCCCCTCGCCGCCGGCCGCGGTGGCGTTGCGGGGCTCGGCGCGCGGACCCGGCTGCCGCGGCCGCTTCTGCTCCCGCCGCGCCCCGACGGCGCCGAGGAGCGCGAGCTGCGGCCAGAGGAGGCCCAGGGCGGCGGCCCAGGCCCAGCGCATGGCGGCGCCGGCGGTCCCGCGGCTCAGCGCTCGGCGCTCATGGGGGCGGCCGGGCTCAGAGCCCCGGCGCCAGGGGGGCGCGGCCGCGGGGGCCGCCCGGCCGCCGCTGCATGTCTGTGCGGAGGCGCCGGGCGACGCCGGCGGGCGGAGGGCGCGGACGGGGCGGCGGAGGCTCCGGTCCCCGCGGGTCGCCGTGCGGCTCCCCCTCCCGCGTGCAATGCCCTGGCCGCCGCGCCGCCGCCAGATGAGCCCTCCTCCTCCCGGCTCGCGGGCCAGGGGGAGGGCCCCCGCGGTGATCCGTCCGCAGGCGCCCGCCGCCCTGGGCGTGGACGGGGCGGGCACCCCCCTGACCACGCGCCCGAGGCTCCCGCCTCCCCAGACCCTCCCACGCGCTTCGGAAACAGCCGGCGCCCCTTCCCGGGGCGGACTCACCCTGGAACCCTCAACAAGGATCTGCCCTGCCCCCCACGGAGCTAAGCTGCTGCCCCCTCCTCCCCCATCTCCCCACTCCCACCCCTATCCCCGGCCGCTGGTCCAGTGCAGGTTCATTGCCGGCCGCCCTGCGCGCACCACACACACACACACACACACACACACACACACACACACGCTCCGAAGGACGGGGCCCCAGGACGCAATGCCAGCCTCCGGGGAGGGGTCTCCTGGCTGCCTTTCCCGACCCGGTGCCAGTGCAGCTTACATTTGGGGTGCAGCCAGGCGGGGCCCCAGGACCCTCTTCCATACCCAGGAGTCTGAGCCAGACACGATGGAGCTGAGGCTTCAGTGGTGAGCTCGGGGGTCACAGAACTCGCACTGGGCCCGGCGGCATGGCTCAGGGGTTGAGTGTTGATCTATGGACCTGGAGGTCACGTTTCCATTCCCAGGAGCCCCGGGTGGAGACACACCGCTCTGCTCTGAGAGCTCACAGCCTGTGGGCCCTTCCCAAGACCCCACACGCAGGCTCTGCCAGGTGCTCTGGCTGCTGGGTCCTGGGGTGTCCGAGAGCCTGGCCCGGGCCCTTCCAGGCAGAGGCAAGACCCAGGAAGCCGGGCGGCTGACCCACCGGCCCTGGCCTTGTGCAGCCTCGATGACCCGATGACCCTCCAGCAGGGAGGGGCTGGCTGACCTCAAGGTGTGACCGTAGGTCCCTCCTCTCCTTGAGGCTCAGGGCCAATCCTTACTGCCTAAGGGTCTGCCCTCACCTGTTCTCCCGGGTCCTATCTCCCAGGAGCCTCTTGGCTTCCGAGCCAGGAGAGGCGGGAGACTAGTCCCCAGCCAGGCCTTGGAGGTCGGCACCTGCCACAATAGCCCATCGCCTCCTCGGCCCTCGGTCCAGGGGACAGTGACTGCCTCCCGCTGCACTTGAGCAGCTGGGGTGTGAGGTGGGGCAAGGGGGGCCCGGGCCTGGTCACAGGCCCTGGGCTGTCACTGCACCGTGGTGGCCAGCGGGGCTGCAAGCCCGAGCCCAGACTCCACTGCCAGGCGCCCATTGGGTGGCGTAGGCCAAGGCTGATCAATAGTCAGAGCCAGGCAGGCCCCACCCGCTGCTGAGTGCAGCCTCGAGGAAGGCGGAGCACCAGGTCCCAGGACAGCACAGAGGGCCCTCCAGGACCCTCTTCAATTTCCAGACGGCTGCCAGAGCTGGACCAGGCCAGGGAAGCAGCCCAGCACAAGACCGCAGCCCAGGCCACTCCCATGGCCAGCTCCAGGCCGGGCCCAGGGACAAGCTGCTGGGCAGATGAGGCCTGTCTGCCCAGGGGCACCATCCCCCTCCTGCTCGGGCAGAGTGGTCACACCCTGGATAACAGCGCGAGTTCTTTTTTCTTTTTAAATATATTTCTTATTGATTTCAGAGAGGAAGGGAGAGGGATATAGGATAAAAAGATCAACGATGAGGGAGAATCACTGATCGGCTGCCTCCTGCACGCCCCACAATGGGGATCTAGTGCGCAACCCTGGCATGTGTGCTACAACTGGGAATGGAAACGTGACCTCCAGGTCCACAGATCAACACTCAACCCCTGAGCCACGCCGCCGGGCCCAGTGCGAGTTCTGTGACCCCCGAGCTCACTACTGAAGCCTCAGCTCCATCGTGTCCGGCTCAGACCCCTGGGTATGGAGGGGGTCCTGGGGCCCCGCCTGGCTGCACCCCAAATGTGAGCTGCACTGGCACCGGGTCGGGAAAGGCAGCCAGGAGACCCCTCCCCGGAGGCTGGCATTGCGTCCTGGAGCCCCGTCCTTCGGAGCGTGTGTGTGTGTGTGTGTGTGTGTGTGTAGTGCAGCTGACAATGAACCCGTGTGTGGGGGAGGCACGCGGCTCTGCAACTGGACAGGGAGCCCTGTTGTGGGGCCAGAGGCCGGGCCTCAAACAGGCCCCGCCCACCAGAGCCCTGGGTCCAGCTCTAGCTTCCAGGCCCTTCCTAAGCTGGGAGCAGGGAGCCATCCATGGCCTGTGGGTGTCGGCCAGACCACGCTCAGCTATGGGGATGCTGGGCCGAGCTTGGGGTCGGGAGTGCCCCTCCTCCACGCGGAGGGTCCTAGCCCCTGAACTGGCGCCACCTGGAAAAGGGCCAGAGGGAGCTGCGTGTTGCCAGGCCTTCCCCCACCCCCAGCGAGGCTCAGGCCACTGTTGGTGTCCTCGCCCACCCAGCCCCAGCTCAGACACCCTGACACCCAGGGCGGACAGAAGCCTGGCACCGCCCCCACAGCAGGCCGTCCGCCTGGCCATTGGAGCGGGGTCACCCCAGTCTCAGACAGAGACCTTGGGGAGTCTCGGCCTCGGAGAGACGCGGGAAGCACTCTCAGGCCTCGTGCGCCACGCAGACGCCTCAGAGGGCCCTGTGGCTTCGGCTCTTCGGGCTTTGCTCCCTGGAGGAGCCGAACCGGCGGCACAGAACGGCTGTGCGATGAGCTTCGCCTCTGCCAATGGGCAGGGACAAAGAGGAGTCTGGGGACAGGCCACTGCCCTCAGCAGGGACTGCACACCAGACCCAGGGCCTGACGCTGAGGGTCAGACAGCTGGGCCGGAGGCACGCTGACTGCTGACGGGGGCACAGGGCCGCCCCCTCCGAGGGAGGGCTCACAGGAAGGCGTGCTGTCTGCTGGGCACTTGCCTCCCGGGAGCCTCTGGACTCGGGTGTGTGGAACAGACACTGACCCCGACTCACCCTGGAGCGGCTGTGGTGGAGGGCGGGTCCGGCAGGTGGCCACTGTCAGGACGTGGCCTCTGCTGCGGAGCCCGGGCCATGCCCACAGCTCGCCCCGGGCCAGCAGGTGCACTTCCACCCACAGACACAAACAGCAAACATTTAGGAGCAAAGACATCATGGAAGAGCTGTTCACAGAGTGGGTTCAACACACACAGGGTCAATTACAAGGAATTCAAAATAAATGGATCAAAACACACAGTCAGAGGGGAGACAGCGCCTCTGTGGCTCTGGAGTGGGTCAGCGTCCTGGGGGTCCGGGAACCGGTCAGCAGATGCAGACGGAGGAGGTTCGTGCGTCAGCCCCCAGACTGAGGCTCTGCCCTTCCTTCCTGATGCCGCACCCGAGGGGCCTCCAGGAAGGGCCAGCACCAGGAGGGTCTGCTGGGAAGGGGCGGAGAGCTATCTTTTGGGTCAGCCCAAGGTTGGGACCAAGTGTGAGGGAGCCCCCAAGTGCAGAGCCCGCCTGTGGGGGGGCTCCTGGGCCACCCGGACCCAAGGAGCTCAGAGCAAGGGCTCTGGGCACCAGGAGCCAGGAGGCGGCCGAGGCCACAGGAAGGCAGCGCTGCCCTGGGTTCCCAGCCGCTTCCTCAAGTACAAGGCGACCCCTTGTGGTCGCAGTGAGCACAGCCGCCTCCGGCACAGGCTGTCTCTGGGCACCTGGGGCCGGCCCCACCCGGGGGCAGAGCCCAGGACCAAGAAGGCACGCAGAGCAATCGTAGGCATCAAGGTTTATATTTTAAGTGATCAAATCTATAAAATGAAAAACAGGTTTACTAAAACATGTCCCAAAGACAATGCAGGAGATGAGGTACAGAACCACAGCGCGAGGCCCCTCGCAGCCCGAGCTCCAGTGAGACCAGGCGCATGGGCGGGACTGTGTCTATGCTCAGTCCAAGCCCCCACTCTGGGTTTTGTTTCCTCTTAATGGTGTTTAAAAGCTAACCCCAGGCGTCGGGCGGTCCGCCCTGTGTGGATGGCGCGTCCAGCCAGCCAGGTCAGGCTGGGCCGTCCCTCGCTCTCGCCACTCTGCGTCCGAAGCGCAGCTCACTCCTGTGCTATGCTTCTCAGCACGTACTTGACCGTGTAGGCAAAGGCTGCAAACCCAACGATAACAAACAAGTTCGCCAGGGCGCCGCCCAGGAGTCCGTGGTGCCGGTTGGCCTGCTGGAAGCCCGCAAGGTGGGGCCCGGCCCCTGGCGCGTGCCCGTTGAGGAGCTGCAGCCCGTGCTGGCCGTGGTGCATGTCCCCGTCGGGAACCACGTCTGGCAGGGGCAGCGCCGGGGGTCTGCTGCTGAGCTCGTCCTGTGCTCTTTGCTTCTGTTTAATCTCCTGGGAGAAGCAGAAGACAAAGGGTATGAACAAACCAGCTCCTGTAGGAGCAGGAGGACCCTCGGCCCCAGGGAGACCGAGACGGTGGCGGCTGTTGGTGGGTTTCACCCTGGCACCCACCGAGTCACAGACACGGGGGCCAGTGCCTTGACAATCACCCACCTGCTCCTCCCTGGCAGCATAGGCCTGAGCAGGTCTGAGTGGCATGGTCACTGCGGCCTGACCTAGTGCACCAGCCTTCTGCTCCCAGCCACTGGGACCAGGGAGCATTCCCAGCCCTCACGCAGGGCTCCCACTCCTGGCCCAAGACCCCGCACCCCACACTGGTGCTGAGCTGGCCAGCTCCACACCCAGGCCACACCCAGGCCGTGCTCCTGGCCGTTCCCAGCTCCGCCCCTGCGGTCCCGGCGCCTGCGAGGCAGGCCTGCTGCCTGGAACATGCGGGGAGCTTCCTCGGGTGCTCGCCTGCAGCCAGAGCAGGAGCACATGGTTCTTCTGGAGACAACTGAACCCCGACCCGGGAAGCAAAGCTGACCTCCAAGCACTCTCACCTCCACGACTTCAGGAAACAACTCACAGAAGACTTTGTCCTTTAAATTAAACAGTAAACTCTGTGCCGCCAGTTGTCTTTTCTAGGAAGAAAGAGAAGGGAAACATCAGCCCAAAGGTGAATGTCAGTCCTTCCCAATTCCCAAAGCAGGTGACTGTATCACGGCTGCCGCCCTCCCGCTGTGGAACACACTTGACAGGCTGTTCTCCACAGTAAGCTAACGTACGTCCGAAGGCTTACCCCAACGGGAGAGGAATAAAAGCCAGGCCACAGCCCGGCAAGGGCACAGGCCCGAGTTGCGGGCTCCATCCCCAGTGTGGGGTGTGCAGCAGGCAGCCAATGAATGGTCCTCTCACACCACTGATGTTTCTCTCTCCCTCTCCCTTCCTCTCTGAAATCAATAAAAATACATTTAAAAAACAAAACAAGAAAACAGTCAACAAGAGGAGTAGGCACTGTGACCACATGTGACCCCTCAGGGTCTGCAGGAAGCTTGGCCAAGAACAGGGGACTCCAGGGCTGGGGTCCATGGGGGGAGCAGGGACATGGGCAGGAGCCCCCCCAGGCCCTCACCCTCACCGTGAAGTCCGACGTCTCTATGCTGCCCAGGGTGGGGCCCTTCTCCACCATGAAGCTCAGGAGCCCGGTCAGGATGGTAGAGACGGACCAGGCCGGGTTCCAGGTGTCTGGGTGGAAGTCCGTGATGGAAAGACAAAGCCTGCAAAACAGGGGCCTTCAACAGAGCGCTCGCCACGGCCGCCTATCCCGCACAGCCAGGCAGAGCGCCTTACCTCGTATTGCACTTAAATCTTCCATTGGGGGTTATCATATAAATACTAGGAGGTTTAAAGGGGAATTCTCTGGGAAAAATCAGTTTTCCATGGTAATAGCCACCTGCATCGAAACAGAAAGATCCGTCATGTCTACAGAGCACCTCCTCATCTCTGCCTGCACCCACCTACCCACCCACTCACAGGTCTACCTGCGTCCACCCACCCACCCACCTGCTCACAGACCCCCGTGGTGCCCACATGCTGACCATCTCGGCTCCTTCATGCTCCTCGCCCCCGCACCCACCCACAGCGTGTCTGCTGCGATCACCTCTCCAGGTCCCTCCACACCCACCGGCTCCTCCTCCACCAAACTGCACCCCACAGCAGCCAGGCCGCCCTCCCTCCCAACATAACAACAACAGAAAACAAACTCTGACCCCCACACCGTCCAGGTCCTGCCACCTGCCCCCATCTTGTCCCTGGGAGCATGTCCGAAGTGCCATCACTCCAGCTCACATCCCATCATGGCCCCACTAGACCTGACCTTGAGGTCACCAGACCTCCCCATGGGATGAGATCACGCCTGACCCCGCCTCCTCGAACCCCCTTCCCCTGCCGACTTGCCCCCCCCCCGCCTCTCCATGCCCAAGGTGCAGCGCCCAGCTCTATGGCACGCTGCCCAGACCCGCACTCCTGGGGCCTCACCTGACTCACATGACACGGGGAGACCGTGCGGCTCTCCCTCCGACTGGCACCTCTGCCTGGACCCTGGACCCTCTCCAAACCCCAGAAAGGTCCCAGACGGACTCCTGCTCCTCTCCTCAAGCAGCAACCCATCCTCTCGGCTGTTGACTAAAATCTGGGTCCCTGCCCCCATCACACCCACTCTGCCAGCTGGTCCAGAGCTGGCACTTGGCTGGCCTCACCGCCTCCACCCGCCCATCTCCGAGGCTCACCCGTGCTCCAGGGATGTGTGCCTGTGTGCACGCGTGTGCATGTGCACGTTCACTGTGGCTTGAGGAGCACTGCCCTGTCCTCACACCCACGCATGGCCCGCCTCAAGGCCTGGCACATGCCATCCCCAACGGCCAAGGGCTCTGCCCCTGTCTGGCTGCAGTACCCCAGCCACCTCACGACTGTCCTTCCCCCCCGAGAGCCATCTGTGGGGCAGACACGCCCACCCATGAGGCAGCACTCGCCCGCACTCAGCACTCACTCACAATCGCTAGGAAAGCCCGACACACAGGCCCTGTCCCCAGGAAGCGACCTGAGCAGCGAGGACAGCGGCCTGTGAGCGCAGTGGAGGATGTGAGGGGCCGCCCACTTGCTGCGAGGAACCTGCCAAGAAAACTGCCCTCTCACACACACACCGGCCCAGCGCTCCTCCTCCATCATCCACCCGAGACCAGAGCAGCCCAGTTCCCAGTGCCCTGAACCCCTCCACCCCCACCCCACTGAGAGCTGGCCACACCCACTGTCCTAGATGCCAGGGCTTGGGCAGCTCCAGCTGTGCAGGGCGAGGACAGCCCGCCGCGCGAGACACGCACAGTAAACCCTGAGCCTGCCTACACACACACACACACACACACACACACACACACACACTCCACACCACGGAGGGAACTCTGGGAGAGCCTGGGCTGAGGGGAGCCTCAAGGGGGTCCTCCTAGGCAGGAAGGTGCCAGGAGGTGGACCCCTGTGCCAGCAGCTTGCACCTTGCATTCCAGTGTCAGCGCAACTAAGCCATGTCAGGAGGGAACCTGAGGGGGCAGCTTCGACTCCCTCTGCAACTCCCTTTGCAACTCGGTCAACAGTCCGTGGGCCATCACAACGCCGACTCCTGCAGCCCCACCCAGTCCTGTCCCCGCCTCTCCCTGCAGACACAAGTCATCAGCAAAGGGAGTCCTCCCACTTAATTATTTTTAAATCGTGAGCTATCAACACTCGGGGTCCTTTGCCTTCCATGTAAGTTTCAGAACAAAACCTTTAGAGTGAGCTTCTGTGTGTCTGGGTTTGATGGGAGGATGGGTCTGAGGACCAGCCCAGAGACTCTGTGGCAGGCTGGGCAACAGGCACAGGTGCTGACTGCAGGGGCTGGCTGTGCCCAGAGAGAGCAGGACAGTGGGGTCCGAGACAGGGACGGCGTGGACATAGGAGAGGAGCATGGGAGACGGGGAGCACAGTCAGGACGCCCAGGAGCCAGGGAGGAGCAAGGGGAGGACAGTCACCCCTCAGGGGTCACAAAGGCCCGACTCAGAGTCCCGACAGCTGTCCCTCCAGGACGGACGGACAGAGGCAGCAGCTTGGCTGGTCCATGGAGACACTACTGAGAGCAGTCAGCGGAGGGCAGCCCTGAGCAGAGCCGAGCTGAGAGGGGACTGGCAGCTCGTAGAGTCAAGCTCCATAAAAACATGCATGGGTCTAATCACCTTCCCGGCCTGGCCCTGTTCTGAAGCCCATCTTTCCAGAGTTCTAGGAGCCCCACCCGGCAGGCCATCCGAGAGCCCACACCACTGCTGGGCACTGGGACGTCCCCCAGGCACCACCCAGGGCACACAGACGGCCCCTGCGACATGCACAAGACACACTCGGAGCAAACTCCCAGAGTCCAGCATGGAAAGAGGGCCCTTTACAAGTGAAGGCCCTAGGCAGGCAGAGCTGCGCAAACAGCTCTGCTTCTGGATGTGGATCCTGGGCAAACCCTCCCAGAACGGGACCCTGGGCCCTAGAGAGCCTCCCTCCCACTCAGCTGCCCACGCCTGATGCCAGCTCAAACCTTCTCTACAGCACTCTCCCCAGAAACCCACACAGCGCTCCAGTCGGGACCTAACGGCTGGCAGCGAAGCGCTGCCCACCTGGGCACGGCTGTGCCGGGACGGCCTGGCCACGGCAACATCTACTCCCCGGCTGGTGCACCAGGCCCTGCTGACCGCTGCGAGGTTTGCGCTGTAAGTGACACCAGCACCCGGAGGGCAGAAGCCAGAAGATAGGCAGGCCCTGCTCACCGGGCAGGTCCCATGGCCTCCCTGCGCCTCAGCACCCTGTCCAGACAGGGCCCACCAATGAGCCCAGGACTGGCCTAGAAAGAGCAGCTGATACACCCATCTTCCCCTCAACAACACCCCTTCAGAAAGTACAAGGAGACCAAGCAGGACTGTTCCCCTGGAGCCTGGGCACCACCGAGGGCACATAGATGGCCCCTGGGACATGGTCCCTGAGACATGCACAAGACCACACTCGGAGCAAACTCCCAGAGTCCAGGTGGAAAGAGGGCCCTTTACAAGTGAAGGCCCTTGGCAGGCAGAGCTGCACAAACAGCACTGCTCTTGCTCTCGCTCTGAGCAACGGCTCGACTTACCTTCGTAAGGAGTCGTCTCAGGGCCTCGGACCACATAGTGCCTGGGGAGAGAGAAAATTAGCTGGCTTTGGGGTGCCCAACTCCCCCCAGTCTGAGTCACTCCAAGGCCAGGGTTTCAGGGCCACCAAGCCAGACACCCACAGCAACCCGAGGGTCACCCACCATTCTTCGTTTCCACAGAGCACTCTGCCTCCGCAACACAATGAGGTCAATCCTCTCTAACCGTCAATATCGAAGGACACTTAAAACTTAATTTCAGCCGAAACCGGTGTGGCTCAGTGGATAGAGCGTCGGCCTGGGGACTGAAAGGTCCCGGGTTCGATTCCGGTCAGGGGCATGTACCTTGGTTGCGGGCACATCCCCAGTAGGGGGTGTGCAAGAGGCAGCTGGTCAATGTTTCTAGATCTCTATCCCTCTCCCTTCCTCTCTGTAAAAAATCGATAAAACAAAAAAGCAGCAGCAGCCGATCAATGCTTCTTTTAAAAAAACTAAACAGCCGGCACCGGTTTAGCTCAGTGGATAGAGCATCAGCCTGTGGACTGAAGGGTCCCGGGTTCGATTCCGGTCAAGGGCATGTACATTGGTTGCGGGCACATCCCCAGTAGGGGGTGTGCAAAAGGCAGCTGGTCGATGATTCTCTCTCATCGACGTTTCCGGCTCTCTGTCCCTCTCTCTTCCTCTCTGTGAAAAATCAATAAAATATATTTTAAAAAAACAAAACAAAAAAAACCCCTTAATTTCACAGCCCTCGTGAGCACCATTGTTTCTCAGTGGCCACACACCCCGCAGAAGGCAAGACGGGACAGCCGGTGCAGGAGCCGGCTCTGTGCCCAGGGTCCATGTCCCACGAGAACCAGACTCCACCCTGGAGGAGCTGCCTCAAGCAGAAGCCACGGGGACAGTCCTGCCGTCGCCACCGCCTGCACCTGGAGCCTGGGCTGTGCACACGTCCACTCCCCACACCCACGGGGAGGCTGCGGCTCACGCCAGAGGGTTTGCACTTAGACACTCAGACAGCAGAAAAGCACAAAGGAGAAAGTTGAGGTAAGATCAGCAGAAATGCCAGAGCAGAGAGACCTGCCTCCAACCACGACACACACACACCGTTAATACCACCGATCAACACCTGCCATCTCCTGCCTGATAGGTCTCTCTCTCTCTCTGTCTCTCTCTGTCACATAGACACACACAGACACACAGACACACGCACGCACACGCACATGCTGTGATCCTACGTCAACAGACCAGGAACAGCCCTTAAAGCTAAACACATGACACGTTCAGGAGTGTGGCCTTAATTTTTCGCTGCTCCAGTTCCTGGCCAGGCTAAGCACAGGGAGAGGAGTGAGAGCGGCAGCACGGAGCTCAGAGGACGGACAGGCCTCATCCAGAAGTGCTGCCTGCTGTCTGCCGAGGGACCAGCCCCTGGAGTCCTCCCACGCCTGGGGCTGGGTCAGCTGAGGGGAGGCTACAGCCCGGGACTCTGGGGGTGCCAGGCAGAGGTGCCTCTGAGACCCCCTGTTGGAAACCCTGGGCACTGGGTCTAACGGGCTACCAGGTGGAGAGTGAGTCCCCGGGGCAGGAGGCTGTGCCTGGTCTCCTATGGACTCTGCCCGTGCCTTTTTCCTTTGCTGATTTTGTTGGGCATTTTCACTGTAATAAACCATAACAATGGGTCTTAACAAATGACTGAATCTGGAGACTCTGACTCCATGTGGGGAGGGGTCCCTGCATCTGTTGACTGTGTCCTGGGGCCACACTTGGTTTTTTTTTATCATTATTTGGGGACAGGGAGAGCCCTACGGGGACATTGCCACCCCACTCACGCTGAGGCCCACGTCACCCTGAGAACCTTCACCACACCTGCCAGATCCCCCTCATCTGTAAGCCAAGGAAGTGGACCCAGATTCCCTGAACACCTGACCCATCTGGAAAACACTTTTTTTCTTTAATCCTCACCGAGGATATTTTTCCCATTGATTTTCAGAGAGTGAAAGGGAGGGGGGAGGGGAGAGAGAGAGAAACATGGACCCAAGAGAGACATATCGACTGGTTGCCTCCCACCTGGGCCAGGATCGAACCTGCAACCAAGGTAATGCCCTTGACCAGGAACCGAACCCACAACCCTTCAGTCCACAGGCAAGAGTCCAACCACTGAGCCAAACTGCCCACTTGGGTCCTAGCTGGTGTGTCTCAGTGGATAGAATGTCGGCTTGTGGACTGAAGGGTCCAGGGTTTGACTCTGGTCAAGGGAACATCCCAGGTAGTGGGCTCGATCCCCAGTAGAGGGCGTGCAGGAGGCAGCCAATCAATGATTCTCTCTCATCACTGATGTTTTTACCTCTTTCTCCCTCCCCCTTTCTATCTGAAATCAATAGATAAAAATAAAAAAAAAAATTACAAACTGCCCAGTTGGAAAACACTTGTTTTCAACTTAGTTAAATTTCTTTCCTCTAGATTTGTTTTTTAATTTTTAGCTCCTTTTTAAGATTAAAATACTCTTCAAACAAAGAAAATGCTTCTTAGTATTTAGCGCTCCACCTCGTTTCTCAACATCCCAGCCACCCTGGGAAGGGCAGCCTGTCCCAGAGGCCGCCGCCTCCTAACCCATGTTACACAGGAAGGACCGAGGAAGCGTGTGCAGGCAGAGCCCACCCGGCCCTGAGGCCAGGGCAGCCGGCCCCTCAGTCCCACTCCCCAGGGCCGGGCAGGGACACACTCAGAGGACCCCTCCCCCGGGCCCCGGGCAGGGACACACTGAAGACCCCTCCTCTGGAGCTGAGCTACACCCGAGCCGCCGTGGTCCTCTCCCAGGAGGACCTTTCTAACCCTGCGTGCACCATCACCCGCCCTGTGTCCCAGCGGCCGCACGGAAAGGGTCTGCGGGCACCGACGAGGGGTGCAGGAGCCCCTTCCCGAGCTCCGTGACGGGAGCCCCCTGCCCACGGGAACCTGGGTGAGCCGGGGGACTGACCCGCAGGGCCTTACCACTCCAGGATATTGGAAGGGAGGGGCTCGGCACAGATGTAAGGCACCGGGTCTTTCTTAATCCGAAGGTAGTCCTGTCTCAGTCGCTGGGTGGCTGTGGTTGGCGCTCTCCTATTGCTGTTGCTGCTCATCTGTCGAAAGAAGCACATGTCTTCACCTGGGCCCAGACACAGCGCCCGGGCCACTGCCCAGCCCAGCAGCCATCACTCAGAGCCTTCCCTCGCCCCCACTCCAAGGCCGAGGCTGTCCCGACTCCCACCCACACTGTAGGCCACAGTCTCCGGTTCCACCTCATCTAATCCCAAGCAGCCATGGTGGGAGTGTCTGAAGCCTGGACAGGACCTGGGCCGCTGCACACGTGGCTCAGCTGTGCTCCGTGACCACAGCACTCAGGAGCACCCACCAGCCTCTGTAAACCCCTTCACTCCCTCAGCACGGCACTGCTGTCACTCTCTGGTTCTGGAGAGACAGGGACCCTCGACAGACTCAGATGCATGTGCTGGGCAGAGCGGAAAGGAAACTTTCAGGCAGAGGCCTAAGGAGCACTGTGCCCAGGACTGCACAGGGTCACTGCGTCAGGAGCAGAGAACGGTGGGAACAAGGCTGCCAGGGAGGCCGGGCCAGGCCCCAAGCCGTGCTCCGGAGGGTCTCAGGCCCAAGTGCCAGGTCCATCACGACGGCTGGGAAGCATGGGACAGACAGGATGACGTGGGAGAGACAGGGCGGGCAGGGCAGCACCAAAGACTGGACCCGGAGTAAAGCAGTCATTGGAGAGAAGAGGCATGGCCGAGTCAGGGAGCCCTGAGACACCTCAGCTATGCTCCAGAGGTGGGCGAGATGAGGAGACAGGGTGCCCCACTCTCACAGGCACAGAACAGAGCCAACCCGACTGCTTCCTCTACCAAGTCTCTCATAACATAAGTGGGAAGGCAAAAAGTCACACTGCTGAAAAGGAAGTGTGAGAGCCGCTGGCCCATGGCGTGACCGACAGCAGGGACAGCAGGGTGTGCAGACAGGAAGAAGGGCGCACCCGCCACTGGGCGGCAGATTGGATGTGGGCAACGGAGGAGGGGCCTACCCGCCTGCTCACCCCTACTCCACCCTCTGCCACTCGGTGTTCCAGCTCATCTCGCCAGAGCACGGGACAGCAGTGGCCGGGCTCTCTCCACCCTGACCTCCCCGTCCCTACAAATCTGAGGTCACCCACCCCCACCATGCCTGCCCTTCTGGGCCTCCATGTATTCCCTGGGGTCAGCCACGGGCTTGTTCCTTCCCTCCCTCCTCCTTCAGCTTCGGCATCACCGAATCAGAGCTCGAACCCTCCCCAGAGCACCAGCCCCACAGACCACACCCAACTGGGTGCGCTCACTCCGCACCCAGGGCCTGCAGACTGGTCTCCCCCCACACACACACCCAGGTCCTCTGGCGTGCACCATCACCCTCCCTGCTGCTAGCTCTGAGGTCTCTCACCCTCAGGACCCTGCTTCCCTCCTTCCCCCATTCCCACCAACTCAGCCTGGCCTCCAGGCTTCTCATCTCTCCCCGTTCTAGTCCTTCCTGGACACCAAGTCAGGCTAACTTGGTCACCACAATTCTCACCACAGCCCTTGACAACCCCCCCCACCCCCCCCAGCCAAGCAGATCAACGCCACGCCATCCCTGCCCCGCCCACCATCCCTGCCCCGCCCGCCAGCCCCTCTACACAGCAGCACCAGGCAGCCTCCCAGTTCCAACTCCCAAGGCTGCTGAACTGCCTCAGGTCCACACCCCTTCTCCTAATGAGCACCGGCTTCTGGGCCCGGTCTACTGGCAGACACTCACCCCAGCCCTTCCCAGCGTAGCTCTAAAGCCGAGACCCTCACGAGCCTTCCTGACTTCCTGCTGCAATGCCTCTCCCCTCCACTGACCTCCCTCGGCCCAGCTCCATACAACACAGGTGCCCACCGGGCCCAGCAGACAGCTGTGCGCCAGGCGCAGCCACTGACCAACCTGGGAGGCGGCACTGCCCCACACAGCACTGCTCCCAGGCTCCTGGCCGGAGGTGCCAACACCTGGCAACAAGCAGGGCCACCCACAAGCAGGGTCACCCCAGGTCGTGTCCTGCCTCCTCTCAACGTCCGCCCTGAGGTCACACTCCGCCCCACACAGAGCAGCGTGCTGGCTCAGGGGCAGCTGTGTCTGCATCAGCGAGGTGGCCACGCTGGACACTTAGTGCTGGTCAACGGGCAGCCACACACGTAAGACTGGCCACACACGATCAGGCACCGACTCCTCTCTCTGTTGCTTCCAAAGCCGTGAGCTTTCGGATCACCTTTACGATCCACCGGCTCAGCTGGTACAAAGGAAAGGGCTCCCGTTCGCACCCAGAGCAGTGCTCTCAGGACCTCCAGGGCTTCCGGGAGACATTTCTCCCAACTGTCCCCTCAGACAGGACATGTCTCAGGCTCTCGCACACCAAGCCCCCCCAGACCGAGCACTCGGGGGTGCTACAGTGAAGGAAATACCTGAAATCAATAAAGATGAATTTTTAAAGGGGGGAGGGAGAGAAATAGAAACATCGATGATGAGAATCATTGATGGGCTGCCTCCTATCAAACTAGGGATCTAGCCCGCAAACCAGGCTTGTGCCTTGACCGGGAATCAGACCGTGACCTCCTGGTTCTTAGGTCAATGCTGACCGGTCCTCTCTCTTAAAAAAAATAAATAAAATAAAAAGAGCGAGAGAGAGGAAGCCAGCATTGGTTTTTCAAGAGTACACCCACTGCTGAAGGCAGGCACCCACCTCACAGGAGTCCCTTCAGCCTCCCATGGGGACAGACTGTCCAGCGTCTGTTCACCCTGTCCCTCTTCTCTCAGGCATCCCTCCCGCCCCACGTACTGGCAGCTCAGGTGACAGCGTGGCATGAGACCTTGCCCGACAGCCGGGCAGGCACGTGACGTGCACGCCCAGGACTTTGAGAGAAGTCTCTCCGATCTCCACCAGGATTGCTTCACAGGCTGGCCGGGAGCCCGGCTCATGGGGGCGGCTCCGCTACCACCCGGGTACCTGCCTGAGCTGCCCGGACGTGCAGGCTGTGAGCTGCATGCAGTTCTGGGCGCCGGGATCCCACCGGCCTGGGGCCTGCACACAGGACCTCCCCGTTCGGCGAGACCCCCGGGTCCTGGCGCCGGAGGGCACCGCCTTCCATCACCGGGGCTGCTCGTGGGCACCTGTCAGCTCCAGGCCCGCGGAGCCGCGGCCTCGCCTGCTCTGGCTGTTTGCTGCCAGGGCCCCGCGATGGATGGCTGGGAGCCGGCTCTGAATCAGGGGCGGCTAAGGGGCGTTTTCATGGGGAAAAAAACTTAGAAGTTTACACGTGGCCAGAGTCTGGGAGGAGGCAGGTCATTCGGAGAGGAGAGTGGGCCGGATACCGACAGGAACTTGTCCGTCGGGACCGAGTCCCGCTCCGGCTGCCGGGATGGAGAGTCCTCCGACCCCGGCTCCCGCTGTCCCGCCTGCATGGCCCGCCTGACCGGCCAGGGCGGCGGGACCCCGGACACTCCTTCCCGGGCTGAGGAGGCCGAGGCGGTTCTAACTGTCAGGGCGGAGCGGCGGCGGAACGGCACCCCGCGGCCGCCCCAACGGACCGGGCACCGCCACACCGAGCGCCCCGCCGGCCGCCGGGAGGGCCCGCGCGGACGGACGGGCGCCTTTCCGGAAGGGACCCACCGTGCGGCCGGCCGGCCGAGAGCCGAGTTTGCCGCAGGACCACCCGGCGGCAGCCCCGGGCGCCCGCCGCAACCGACCTCGGGTTCCGCGCCGGCCTCCGGGCGGAGCCCCGCGAGCGGCGGGTCGGGCGCGGTGGGCGCCCGGGGGCCCCGAGACCCGCGCCCCTGGCCCCCCGCGGGCCGGCTCCCGCGGATCGGACGCGCGACCGAGGCCCCGCCGCAGGCCGGCAGCGCGCTCACCTCTCCCCGCCGCCGCGCGTGGGCCGCCGCCGCGCTCAGGCTCGCCGAGGTCGAGGCCGGAGCAGGAGCGAGTGGGGCCCGCGCCGGAGAGCCGCACCGCCCGGGACCGAGCCCACCGCCCCGCCGCAGCGCCGCCGCCGCCGCCGCCTCAGCTTCCAAGATGGCCGTCCGGGGGCGGGGTCATCATCGCTTCCGGTTCCGGTGAGCGGCTTGCTCGACGGCCGCTCTAGGTAGCCGGGAGGCCGTTGCCCGCATCTCGCTGCTCCCTCCCCCGCCCAGCGAGGCGGGGCCTCGGCGCATGCGCACTGGCGGCAGCTCCGCCAGGATGTACCCGGACCCGGCGGCAGGTGTGATCGATCCGGCGGCCATCGCCCTCCCGGGCCTCGCGCCGCCGTAGCCCCCTCCTGCGGGAAGCGTCGGGGACATGGACCAAGGGGGTCCCTGACCCCCTCCGCAGCTCCGGACACTCCACTCCCCAGGATTCCGGCTCAGGAGAATCCGAGACGGACAGGCCCAGATAAAGGGTGACCCCGGAGCCACTGGGCCCCGCCGCCTTTCAAAGGATCCTCCCAGCCCGGCCGGTGTGGCTCCATGGTGAGCGTCGGCCCAGGAACCCAGAGGTCACGGTTCGATTCCAGCTCAGGGCACATGCCCGGATTGCGCACTCCATCCCCCGAAGGGGCCGTGCAGGAGGCGGCTCATCCGTGATGTTTCTAGCTGATGTCTATCCCTTTCCCTTCCCCTCTCTCTAACCACCAATAAAAACATATTAAAATGTAAAATAATAATAATAAAGGCTCCTCCCAGTTGGCTGGGGGCCCAATTATTCTACGCACTTAACAGAGGAGGGCCCTGGCCCATCAGTGACCCAACCGGCCCATGGCCCCTGAGCGTCCAGTCCCGGGTGGCCCACGGCGGCCTCTGCCAGAACCCGTGCCAGGTGGGACCCGCTGTGGGCACGTCTGCCCAGCCCCTGCCCCTGGGGAGAGCTGTTCTCATAAAAATTCTTCCACTGTTTCCCAGGCGAGTCTTCCACCCAGCCCATGAATGGGGTCATTATGCACCAGTGGACAGGCGGCGAGGCCCGCTTCGGCTCCCACGGTCCCCTCCCTGGCCCTGGGGAGGGCGCAGAGCCTGGCCACCCCTGTGCGTGGGTTGAGAGGAGGGTAGTCCCACAGGGAAC